TAATTCTCTTCCTTCTGTCAAATTTTGAGCTAACCGCAAGTAGTAATTGACGCTGTTTCCGATTTCTCAAAAAACGCGTGTGAATTTAAAAAGTACTAATAACATTCCGCACTATTATACATAGATTGTTTGGGGAAATCACTCCCGGTATATTTTATTATTAAAACTGCTTTGCTCTTTAGTAAACCATTTCCACCTTTTCTATCTACATTTTTCAAGTATACCCTTACTAAAAACATTGCATAAATATGTAGATTCTATTTTTAATATTTATTTCAAAAAGTTTTCTCTAAACTCAAGTAGTTTTTATAAACCATTGAAAAACCATATCCTTATTAATTTATTTAGAATTACTTTTCTTATCTACATTAATTTCAATATTTATTTCTTAATTCGTAAAAACAGGCGAAAGAAAAGGAGATTTTAGCCTTGGAAATGGAACTTCTATTGAAAATGGTATTGAAAAAAAAGAAGCATAATTAGATTAATTATACTCATATCATTGAGATTTTTTAAAAATATAAATAAATAGTATTAAAAGATAACTCAAATCAATCAAATAAGCAATGTACGGTTAAATATCTTTATTACTGCTTTGTTGTTAGACAATTCATCTTAGAAAAAACTTCCTCATAACGATTTACTGAGCTAATTTAAACACGAATTAAGTGTGTCGTAGTATAAATTGTATATTTGATAACCATTGAGTTCTTTTAACAAGTTCAAGATGTCAAATTTACCCAACTCTAATGGATACATGAATCGATGGGGAAAGTAAAGGCGGCAGGCAATTATGCTGACCATAATCTAGTAACTAAATGCAGCAGTAGTACTGCCAAATGAATTATAACGTCTAAACGGCGCCTTTAAATACTTGGACATTAAGTAAAGATATAATTTGTCCTGGTATCATCTGTCCGTAAGATCATTTGTCTTTGAGATCATTTGTCCTGAGATTATTTGTCCTGAGATCATTTGTGCGTAATATATTTTGTCTGGGATATTTTGTCTGGGATCATTTTCCATGAGATCATTTGTCCTGATACTATATATATAATTATATATATATATATATATATATATATATATATATATATATATATATATATATATATATATATATATATATATATATATATATATATATATATATATATATATATATATATTTTTTTTTTTTTTTTTTTTTTTTTTTTTTTTAAATTTGCATTAGTTTGCTTTTCAAACTTATGGATTTTTTTTTTAAAGTTTGTGCTTTAAAATGAAGAAACCTCTTTCTGTGTAAAAACGCTTGTGGTGATAAATATGGTATCAATGCAGGTGCGAGCACAGCTAGTGACGACGATTTTAGCATGGCAGGTAAAAATGAAAATATCAATTCAGATGCAGCTGAAAATAAAAGCTATAATTTAGAAGCAGATAAAATGGATAAATTGATCCCGACAGGTAATGTATATGTATATTGCACATCTTTTCGTTTATCTTTATACAATTATGCATGTATCAGTAAAAAGAAAGCCTGACTTATCTTCTATATCAAAGCAACGCAGAGAATGTAGTCAATCCCACCTGTATACTATAGCAATAATGTAGCAAGCATCAGATGGCTTTTTCACTACAGCCCCAGGTTTATTCTAAAGCCAGCAGGACAAATATATCTTTAATCATCGCGTTTTGAATTGTCTAGTACTTCTATAAAGATCTTGGATCGGTGTAACCCATACGTGTTTAAATTGTAACAACCACTTGTAGTTACGTCGCCAAATTAATTTTGTTTACCGTTGTCACAGATAATTATCAGATTGTCAAATATAAAATATAAAAGGGTTGACCGCTCTATTTTACATAGTAAAAGTAAGTAATTGTGTCAACATTTTTAGGACCAAAGGACATATTTATCTTATAAATTCAATTTAACACCAAATAAAATCGAAACGTTTTTGGGCTGTTGAATTTGTTTTAATGTATTTCCTAAACGATTTTTTGTACCAATATGTCATGATTTAGGTGTCAATGTTATTTTTTAACTAATCAGATTTCTTGGGTTGTGGATAAGTTGCCAATATATTATTTATTTAATTTAATTGTCATCTTTGTCATGAATTTATGTTTCGTAATAGACAGATTTGAGCCAGGGTTTTAATGTAAGAATAAGTTGTTATTTTGAAAATCCGTTATGTTTGGTTTAATATAAAATATTAGTTTTGTGAGTAAACATGTATTGGTATTGTGCAGTTTTAAACTCTGAAGGATGTATGTGTGTATATACGGGTGCAACTGAGAATATCTTTTGATGTCACAACGTCTAACCAGGGTGACTAACACTTTTTTAAAGTAGTAACTCTAGCAGAAATTTGAATATTTTGTTTTCGTTTGAAAATTTAATTATTTTTTTTACTTAAAATAAAAAAAAACGCCTTTTTAAATTATATTTAGCGACTGATGCCGCCACAAAGAACCCTATAACTGGAAACACTCTTAAGGCTCCAATCTCTATAAATGTAAGCAAACTACTGCAATAACGTTTATTTTGTGTTGATAGCTTAATACATGTATGAAATGGTAATTTATAACACTGTTTAAACAATTATCTTTGAATCACGAAAGGCCATTCTTAAAATAGGTTTTACTTGTTTTGATTCCCTGAACAGTAAGGTTCAAAATTTTATAATTTCACATTAAGTTAAAATTTTAAATCTCATTTTGATCTAAACTTCATCTTAACCAAAATTTTCAATAAACTAATTACTCACAAATATCCTCCTACATCGAACTTGGTGTAATTTTTGCAATGTTTAGTTTAACAACAGAAATATATTGCCACTACAGCATAATAAAAATAACTGAACTGTTAGAAAATGGGTAATGTTTATTTCAATAAACTGTCGATGGAATAAGCGCTGAAAAAAATGTTTTCGAAAGATAAAAGTAGTACTGCATACAATCGAAATTTTCAAAGTTTTATTAACAGTATCGTATTTTGTGTTTTATAGACTGTAGTTCCAAAAATCAAGAAGAAAGTCAACTTTATCTTGTTTGGTGAACATACAACATTATTAAATATCGTGGGCCGATCTGTTTTTCAAAAAGACAATTTTAAAGAGGTGACAGAAAATGAAAAACTTGTGAGCAACTCAAAGGAACTGGGCGATACAGAATTCTGTATAGTTTTATCTTTTATACAAGCCTTTGGACGAACAAAACGCTTTCAAATGTTTTGGTCTGGCACGGGCGTTATACGCGCTATTAAAGTTGTCGAGTGCAATTTCTCTGCTATTTTGCTACCCTTTCAATACGGCCAAGACGTAACACAAGCACAAATCTGCTTGATAGAAATATTGAAAGGTTTTTTAGGTAAAGACATTATAAAAAATCATGTTATTTGCATAGTTTCGTGTAACGCAAGAGTGGATGGCACCTTCAGTTTTGAAAAGTGGTGTAAAGCTCAAACAGGAGATTTGGGCGCTGTGTTTAAAGAATGTTCCTACAGGTGTGTGTTTTTAAACTACTCTCGTCCTTCAAAGTTCGCCAATGATCTTCAGTGTAAAAAGATATTCGACTTTGCTACAAAAATGAAAAAATTTACAAAATCGAATTATGAGGCCGTGGCAGAGGCTCGTAACAATTTAGTAAAACAATATGACATTAAAGAGAAAAGCTCTTAGCTCTGCTAACAGACCTGTATGAAATTTGAAATTTTGACAGTGGTCCAAGGTACCAAGTTTGATATAAGCGATGATGAAGATAAATTCTAAATTGTAATATGGTATTTGTGCTATTCATTGTGATACATTTGTAATGTTCATTCCACAAGGAGCCACATATTACTGTACTGTCTTTATTTGTTTGTAAAAAGTTTAAGAGACGTATAATTATGTGTGTGATGTTATAATTAACCATGTCATCTAAACTATGGTAAAACCACTTGTTTAAATATAAAATTTAAATGCTATTAAATTTCAAATATAAACATTTTAATCCTGTATTTTTACTTCTGAAATTGTAATGTCATTTAAATTGAACAGTAGAATAAGATAAAATTGCAATATGTAACTCCCTCCAACAGTAATCCTTAAACAGACATAATCCCTATCAGTATAGAGTTTTTCAATTCCTTTTGCGACGAATACACTAGGCGAATTGCGATAATAACTTCAAGGGTGTCATCTGATTTCTTTTCAAGTTATTTAACAAAGGAAAAACAATTTCTGAGTCAGAGGCATTTTCTATAAAGCCCATACACTTCGTTTGACGAACTCTTCATCAAAAAAGTTTAATTTAAAGAAACAAAACTCTAACCGTCGCTCATTCTTTTAGATCAAACTTGTTAGGTTGAATGAGGAATATGGTGAGAAACATAAGTGGGAACAAAAGATACTGTAATTTTAATAGGGCACTGTACCCGTCACACTCTCTTTCTATGTCAGTAGAAATTTATATCATCATATTATGTCAGCCTTCTTTACTTCAACATAAATAAGCTTACTTTACTTTGTCATATATAAGCCTAATTTTCTAGTAAATGTGGATATAAGTTGCTTCATTAACTAGATCAACTGTAGAATAATGGCGACGAAACAAAAAAAAAGAGTTTTGGTGTGCTATGATGCAGTGGCGTAGCGAGGTCGGGTGTCACCCGGTGCGGCACTCAATGGTGTCACCCCCCCAGAGGCGTTGCGACCCTTCCCGGGGACAAACTTTCAAGTTTTCGATTTGCACCCCCCCCCCCCTCAAACTTTCGATTTGCACCCCCCCCCCTCAAGTTTTTCTCATATATTTCGCTATTTTTTGCCTTGGTGTCACCCCCCTAAATGGTGTCACCCGGTGCGGTCCGCACCCCCCGCCCCCCCCCCTCGCTACGCCCCTGCTATGATGTTATTTTTGTATAAGCTGATGATTGTGTGTGACTTGGGTGTGTTGGATTGTTGGCTGTTAAAGGGTTAGCACCATTATTTAATTTTAGAAAAATACATTTTTTCCTACATCACATGTATCGTAAATATCATGACCTTGTTAAATGGTGATGTTTTAATTGATGTTTACATAAGATATAATTAACTTTTAACAGCGTTAATGAGCTCCTCTTTCAGATTGGACGAGACGTCCATTTCTGCCAGATCCTTCTTTTGGTGGGTTCGTTTCCGGTGGCATTTAAAGACGTCATACCTGACGTCCAGGTGACCTCTGGTGAACAGGACGTGGGTCAGTCCGGAGAAGACCAGGATACAGAACAGCCCGGACAGCATGGCCAGAGTTCTATAGAAGAAATTTATGGGAAACTTGTAGCATGGCTGTAGTTATAGAACAAAATTATGGGAAACTTGTAACATGGCTATAGTTATAGAACAAAATTATGGGAAACTTGTAATATGGCTATAGTTATAGAACAAAATTATGGGAAACTTGTAGCATGGCTGTAGTTATAGAACAAAATTATGGGAAACTTGTAACATGGCTATAGTTATAGAACAAAATTATGGGAAACTTGTAACATGGCTATAGTTATAGAACAAAATTATGGGAAACTTGTAACATGGCTATAGTTATAGAACAAAATTATGGAAAACTTGTAACATGGCTATAGTTATAGAACAAAATTATGGAAAACTTGTAACATGGCTTTAGTTATAGAACAAAATTATGGGAAACTTGTAACATGGCTTTAGTTATAGAACAAAATTATGGGAAACTTGTAACATGGCTTTAGTTATAGAACAAAATTATGGGAAACTTGTAGCATGGCTTTAGTTATAGAACAAAATTATGGGAAACTTGTAGATATAGTCATAGAACAAAATTATGGGAAACTTTTAGATATAGTCATAGAACAAAATTATGGGAAACTTGTAGATATAGTCATAGAACAAAATTATGGGAAACTTGTAGCATGGCTTTAGTCAGGGAGAACAAAATTATGGGAAACTTGTAACATGGCTTTAGTCATAGAACAAATTGAAGGGAAACTTGTAACATGGCTTTAGTTATAGAACAAAATTATGGGAAACTTGTAACATGGCTTTAGTCAAACAAACAAAATAATATGATACTTGTAGCATGTCTGTAGTCATAGAACAAAATAATATGAAACTTGTAACATGGCTATAGTAATAGAACAAAATTATGGGAAACTTGTAACATGGCTTTAGTCAGAGAGAACAAAATTATGGGAAACTTGTAGCATGGTTTAGTTATAGAACAAAATTATGGAAAACTTGTAACATGGCTTTAGTCATAGAACAAATTGATGGGAAACTTGTAACATGGCTTTAGTTATAGAACAAAATTATGGGAAACTTGTAACATGGCTTTAGTTATAGAACAAAATTATGGGAAACTTGTAACATGGCTTTAGTCAAACAAACAAAATAATATGATACTTGTAGCATGTCTGTAGTCATAGAACAAAATAATATGAAACTTGTAACATGGCTATAGTAATAGAACAAAATTATGGGAAACTTGTAACATGGCTTTAGTCTGAGAGAACAAAATTATGGGAAACTTGTAGCATGGTTTAGTTATAGAACAAAATTATGGGAAACTTGTAACATGGCTTTAGTCAAACAAACAAAATAATATGATACTTGTAGCATGTCTGTAGTCATAGAATAAAATAATATGAAACTTGTAACATGGCTATAGTAATAGAACAAAATTATGGGAAAATTGTAGCATGGCTGTAGTCATAGAATAAAATTATGGGAAACTTGTAGCATGACTGTAGTCATAAAACAAAATAATAAGATTTGTTTTCGTCAAAATGTAAAGTTCGTTTTCGGGCGGGGAGAAATCTTGCAGTGTTTTGGGAGTTGGTGATGGTTTTGGTTTTTTTTACAACGTATTATGGTAACTTCAGGAAAGCGAAATCTACTAACATACTGTGACTTGTTTTGGGCGAGTCTTCCCGAAAGACATTTGTCCGAATGCCGTTTGCCCGAAGGCCGATTTCCCGAATGGACACTTGCCCGAATGCGACAAATGCCCGAATGTTAATATTATATATTACTAAATAATCATTAGTAATCAATTTAAATTTGAAATTTTTATAAAAAATACATGACTATCTAAACAAAAAGAAAAGAATAAAATAATGTTATATTTTACACGCAGACATTCTTAATTAATTAATATTTGCTATATAAAAAGTGTACAAACATATTTTCATGCCTATCTATGAAACAACACCAAAAATACCATTTTCGTTTATTTCAGGATTTTAAAATGAATTTTGCTTTATTTATTAAAGGTATCGCTTCAACACATTGTCTAAACAAGGTGCATTGAATGGAGATAAAACATAATTGACTATCTTTAGTTTGTAAATTCGCCGCCTAGACCGAGCCTCGTTCTTTGTGAAATGATCACCACCCCTGTTAAACAAAACAAAAAAAATGAAACAAACGCGCTTTTGTTCAATGTCGCCTACACCGTGTGATAAACGCCATCTAACCACCGCAACATGTTGGTTAAACAAGGTGTTCAAAACGTTTCTGAAAAGAATGTAGAGACAGCGCCACCAACATCACCTTATATTAGTTTAAGTAAAAAAGATTTTTTTTTTACAACAATTTCTCAGTTTTCAAAAAATAAAAGCTACATTTTTAAAAATATGAACAAATTTGTTTTGTTTTTTTGCTTAGAAATGTGTTTATTATCAATATTTCAAACTTGAATTGATTAAGAATGTCTATTTGGTAATATTATTTATTGTCTAACATTAACATTTTTCGGGCTAACGGTCTTCGGGCAAGCGGCTTTCGGGCATTTGTCGCATTCGGGCAAGTGTCCATTCGGGCATTTGTCGCATTCGGGCAAGTGTCCATTTGGGCATTTGTCGCATTCGGGCAAGTGTCCATTCGGGCGTTTGTCGCATTCGGGCAAGTGTCCATTCGGGCGTTTGTCGCATTCGGGCAAGTGTCCATTTGGGCATTTGTCGCATTCGGCAAGTATCCATTCGGGAAATCGGCCTTCGGGCAAACGGCATTCGGGCAAGTGTCTTTCTGGAAAGCGTCCGGCTCCCGTTTTGGGCATAGATAACGAAAACAATAACGATAAATTTTAATTGGTATTTTGTTGCCTAAGAACAAAATAAACTAAATTTGTTTTTTAAGTTTGAAAACCAAATTCAATCAATTTATTTTGCCCCTTGCAATAGGCCTACCTAAAGGGAAATAACTGCGAGTCAGTGCTGTAGTCATACAAAGGGAACTTAATCGCCGCTGGAATTTGTAGCACAGCGTCACCAGACAAGATCCGCAGTAGGAATGAGACGAGAAACCCGGCAAAGCTGCCATAGGTGTTGGCCCAAGGCACCCACAGGACACACACCAGTTGTGGGAATAGCACCACGTACATCAGGTCACTGAGATATAGACATCTAGGTTAAAATACACACCAGTTGTGGGAATAGCACTACGTACATCAGGTCACTGAAATATATACATCTAGGTTAAAATACACACCAGTTGTGGGAATAGCACCACGTACATCAGGTCACTGAAATATAGACATCTAGGTTAAAATACACACACTAAATGTGGGAATATGATTAGTGCATCAGATATATTTATAAAAGTCAAGATCTTAAATGTTAATGATACCAATAATAATAACTATACAACCTCGTAACAATCTTTGTGGTGCTTATTTAATTAAAATTTTAATTTTAATTTCTATTACCTCGATATTACCTTGTTACAAAAAAAAGTTGAATGTTACATTTAGCACTAGTAGAAAATTCACCACATTTTAAATGGGAAATTAATCATAAATGCAAGCTTATAATTAAAATTTTATTTCTAACAAAGAATCGTTTACAACAAAATACAGAAGTATAAATAAGTAAACAAATATTCAGCCCTCACCCCACCTCAGGGCAGGATGGGGGTCGGGTTTTGTTAACAATGTGTGACCAAGGTAAGAGGAAGTAACATAATTTGACGTAATACTAATGCACTTCGAAAATATAGTTTTAAAACTGAAGTTTAGAAGTTTTAGAATTTTTTTTAATGAATTTATTATTCAGAATGATTTGCTTAAGTTTTCAGTTAATAATATTGACTAGGAACGTATTCGGCTGGTTCCACAAGCTAACAATTAACATTTGCTGTACAAGTTCGATATTTTTTCTTTAAATGGGATATAACTCTATTTAATATTTTCAACAAAACCGACTTGGTTAAATCATTATATTAACACATAGAATTAGGGTGTGACTTTTGTGAAATTTGTCGTCAGCTGGGGGAGGATAGTGAGTGTCAAAAGTTGATGTCATTAGAGACGGTCTCAACGTTGCTTACCAGGCTAGAACAAACAGGCCGTAGATGGTGGTGGCGAAGACGGCGACCAACGTGCCCAGCACCCCAAACAGGATGATACAAACACGGAGCACCCACATCAGTTCTCGGTCTGTCGCCTGTGGGGACGGGGGAGAGAATTTAGATTATGGGGGACAGGCAAGGGACTTTATGGGGGACATGCAAGTGACTTTAGATTATGGGGGACAGGCAAGGGACTTTATGGGGGACATGCAAGTGACTTTAGATTATGGGGGACAGGCACGTGTTTAGTTTATGGGGGATAGGCAAGGGACTTTAGTTTATGGGGGACATACAAGGTACTTTAGTTTATGGGGGACATGCAAGGGACTTTAGTTTATGGGGGACATGCAAGGGACTTTAGTTTATGGGGGACATGCAAGGGTTTAGTTTATGGGGGACATGCAAGGGACTTTAGATTATGGGGGACATGCAAGGGCTAGTTTATGGAAGAGGTTGTGGGGGGGGGGGGCATGCAATTAGTTTTCTTAGAAGAGTTTACGAAGGACATACGAGGGACTTTGTTATGGGGTATTTATTCCTTCCCTAACACAACACAAGTTTAACCTTTCTCCGAAGAATATCTTTGTAAATATTCTTAGCAAAGATGGTGGACGACGACAGGAAGCAGGAGTCGGCTGACGACATGACCGCTGCGCAGATCGCGCTCATGCCAATAATAGACACCGGAAGTGGCACAAGATAGTTCAAGGTCATGGGTAGAATGTAACTCTTCCTGTCGTCTGGTATTGGCAGCGGCCCCTCGTACGTTGTGCTGTTCCAGTCTGTAGAGATGTTGAGTCTCTCAATTATTTGTTTTAAAGTTCACCGAAATATCTTGGTAAATTTGCTTTTAAAAGCAAAAGAAACAAAAAAGTAAGTAATCGATTTCTCTATTACAGCGCTAATAAAATAAAAACAAATATTCAAATCTGATGACTAAGTGTATGTAGCACATTGCTACCTCTTTAGATGAAAGTGGCTACCTGCTGCAGCCCCTGCGTAGCCCAGAACCATTGGTGGGATGGCCAGAACCAGACTTATAACAGCAGCACCATAGCACGACAACACGGCCACTCGGATATTTTTACTGGCCAACACTCGCTGATATAGAGGCTGAAATATGAACAGGCAGAACTCGCTGATATAGAGGCTGAAATATGAACAAGCAAAACTCGCTGATATAGAGGCTGAAATATGAACAAGTTAAACTCGCTGATATAGAGGCTGAAATATGAACAAGTTAAACTCGCTGATATAGAGGCTGAAATATGAACAAGTCAAACTCGCTGATACAGAGGCTGAAATATGAACAAGCAAACCTCGCTGATATAGAGGCTGAAACATGAACAAGCAAACCTCGCTGATATAGAGGCTGAAATATGAACAAGCAAAACTCGCTGATATAGAGGCTGAAATATGAACAAGCAAAACTCGCTGATATAGAGGCTGAAATATGAACAAGCAAAACTCGCTGATATAGAGGCTGAAATATGAACAAGCAAAACTCGCTGATATAGAGGCTTAAATATGAATAAGTCAAAGCAAATGTTTCAGGCGTTTCTCTGTATTTTTATAAACAAGAGGTCATAGACCCATTTATATTTACATAGCTAACTGAACAACGTTCAGAGCTGTTATCGTTTGCCGAATAAATATTCAATCCTTTGATTATTTTTTTTATTTCGTTCCTTTGTGTTGATACGTGTTAAGAAAATAATGGTGAGGTTTTTTTTTCAATGTCACAAGAGCACTCAGTGGCCTAACTGTAATTACTGTGTTAAAATAACCATGTATATTAAATACATATATCTATGGGAGACAAATAGTAAATATGTTTCATATTAATTCCAAAATATATGGAGCAAATTCTAAATTCAGAAATAAATATATAACCGTAAACACATATATGATTGAAATAAATAAACACGTATATACCCTAGGTAGCGAAAGAAGGATTATATACAACTCATGAAAGAAACCTGAGAATCTTTTACGTTAACAACCGTAGCTAGACTCACCTGCCAGGTGGTGCCACCAAACGACAGCAGCAACAGGGTGTCCAGGTAGGCCAGCTCCGTCCCCGCCCCCACCTCCCCCAGCCAGGCTGATGTTGTTATGTTCTCAAAGTGGACGTGCTCGCTGGTGACGGCAAATGGACAGGCCAGCACCTGTCAACAGATTGACACAGGGTGTTAGTCTTTTCTTCTTCTTCTTCGTTCTTAATTATTAGTGTTGAATGTGATCGAGATTTATCTGCCAGTGCGTTTGAATTCGAGACTTTATTCGAATTTATCAACCATGAGCTTTTTGCCGACTCGACCACGCCTCCAACACAATTAAGCGTTACGTGTCAATTGGTTATGCGCCATTGAGGCCATTGACTCCGATTTCAGCCTGCTTTTCTTTTTTGGATTTGCTTCCATAGCCTTTGTCCAACCAAGAACAAACTACAAGGCAGCAGTTGTTTAATTTTGGAGTTGTCTCTCCTAGAAGAGTGGCTGTCCCCAGCTAACGAGCCTCATCTGCCCGAGGGTTCGAACTCGAGACTTTTCGGTTTAGCAACCATGAGCTTAACCGACTCGACTGTGAATTGACACAGTATGTTAGCACATTGACACAGTATGTTAGTGCATTGACTCAGTATGTTAGTAGAGCATTGACACAGTATGTTAGCACATTGTCACGGTATGTTAGCACACTGTCATTGGTCACTTACCAGACCCATGACGATGAGCACCATCTGTATGACGTCACTTAACAGTCCTGCGATGATGAATACTATCGGTATGACGTCACTTACCAGATCTATGACGATGAGCACCATCTGCATGACGTCATTTACCAGACCTATGACGATGAGCCCCATCTGTATAACGTTACTTAACAGATGAATGACGATAAGCAACATTTGTATGACGTCACTTACCAGACCTATGACGATGTGCACCATCTGAATGACGTCACTTACCAGACCTATGACGATGAGCACCATCTGTATGACGTCAGTGTAGGCCACAGCGTACAGACCACCAAGGAACGTGTAGACTATAGCGATCAACGAGGACACGATGATTGAGATTGTAGGATCGATATCCACAATAATCGATATTGTCCCTCCTGAAATAATAGTAAAATTCGACTTTAAATAACTTTTAACGCCCATTTTTATTTCATTGATCGCTTAGTAAAAGTCACAAAATGAGTTTGTTTCTTTCTTTTTCTTTTACAAAGCACATTTTTCAATACGTTCCCTTGAGCCCCCTTAAGCAACTCTCCCCTGGGGCTGACACGTGACCCAGACTTACCCAAAGCCGCCAAGACAGAGGCCGACCAGAATAGCTCCCCCACCATGTGAGGTATGATCAACAGCGCCCCCATCTTCCTGCCGTATTTCAACTGGAACGGGTCAAAGAGTGTGACGTATTTCTCGCGTCTCATTTTAGGCGCCATGAACAAACCACCTAGTGTGATGAAATGGATCTTAGTTGTTCAGGAATATATCAAGAAAATATCAAGAAAATATCAAGAAAATATCAAGAAAATATAAAGTAAATATCAAGAAAATATCAAGAAAATATCAAGAAAATATCAAGAAAATATCAAGAAAATTTGAAATTATATGGAATATATCAAGAAAATATTCGTGGCTAAACTTTTATTTTACTTACATGTAGATAAACAAAGTATAGATTGAGATATAAAAAGAAAATGTAAAGGTTACTAAATATTCTGAAGGAGGTAATTTTAATTTAAATGTTTTAAAGTTTTAATCACCGAGGTCACCATGTTTTTTTTCCTTACAAGATGACACAGAAACTGCTTCTTCAATGTGAACTTTTCCCTAGATAGTGATACAGAAACCAGAGGCGTAGCGACCCTTCCTGGCGCCCGGGGACAAACATTCGATTTGCACCTCCCCCTCAAAATTTCAATTTATTTTTCCAACCCATTTTGGCGCGCTTAGTTCGGCGCCCGGGGACATATGTCCCCCCCCCCCCCCTCGCTACGCCTCTGACAGAAACTGTTTCTTAAATGTAAACTTTTCCCTACATGGTGACAGAGAAACTGCTTCTTAAATGTGAACTTTCCCTTACATAGTGATACATTAACTTTTTTTGTATGTTTTCACAGATGATCTGTGGTGACACATGGATATCAAGTGGTGACATATATGATCTTTAATAGCGCAACATATGCTCTTGGTGACATCCATGGTCTTTAATAGCACAACATATGCTCTCCAAACCAGTCAGAATGTTTTAACCAACGTTTGTAAAACAATGAAATTTATTGTTTACCAGCCTGTTGCAACGTTGTGGGTGGGGGAGGGGGGTTATATTTAAATAATAGCCCAGTTTTATTCATAAAATCGAGTCAAGGAACATACAAGCAGGGAGGGGTTAAGGTTTATAGGTTTATTGTTTGAGTCATCAGATAATACATTCAAAAATATTAGAGCTGTTTAAATATGTGTATTGTGGGGTCAAGTTAAGCTACGATAAAACATTAATTACTTTACATAATTATGAGCTTATTAGATAAATACTTACATAGTAAAATAGCTTTACATGAGAATTTAAAAACAGCGATTAATCTATATAGCCCACAGCTCGTAATTCAAAACGGATGAATCATCTTATAAAATGATTCTAGATCTCTTACCACTAGGCAGAAGGGGAATATTTTAACCATGAGGCTATTAACTTTTCAGCAAAACTTGTAGAAAACGTTTCTTGTAAACTGTAAGGGTGTTTTGCTACATTAACTTGGTGCTACAATTAAAAGGAAATCTGCAAGAAGGACAGGTGTTAAAGTTGGCTACCCAATGAGTGTTGATTACAACACTGTGCCTTTCATTTTATAATGGGTTTTTAAAACATTGAGCGCTTGCTAATCTGGAGATCTCGAGGTCAGAATACAGCCTAATACGGTAGGTCTTCCCTCGACCAAACTTCCACATTATATTCAAACCAGGTGGGCGATCAAACCAGGTGGGCGATCAAACCAGGTGGGCGATCAAACCAGGTGAGCGATCAAACCAGGTGGGCGATCAAACCAGGTGGGCGATCAAACCAGGTGGGCGATCAAACCAGGTGGGCGATCAAACCAGGTGGGCGATCAAACCAGGTGGGCGATCAAACCAGGTGGGCGATCAAACCAGGTGGGCGATCAAACCAGGTGGGCGATCAAACCAGGTGGGCGATCAAACCAGGTGGGCGATCAAACCAGGTGAGCGATCAAACCAGGTGGGCGATCAAACGATCAAACCAGGTGGGTGATCAAACCAGGTGGGCGATCAAACCAGGTGGGCGATCAAACCAGGGAGGAAGGGGGAACTGGTAGAGTTAGACAGATCACGGCGTCTAGCACCATGTTTGCGAGATTATCAGATCTACGTTATGTGGTGTATGCCTAGTGTTGACCGAGCTAGTCATCTGATGCGATGAGGGTGGGGGAGGGGTGGCGATGGAGGACCCTTAAAATACAACTTTCGATAACATTTGCTTAAAAGAGCATTTACCTTCAAAAAATGATACTTAGAAAAAATACAACTACCGAAAAACATAGGCTACTTAGAAAAGAAATACAACTTAACGAAACGTGCGTAGACAAAGATTCAACTTCCAGAGAAAGGTACGTATAAGAAATTACAACTATCAGAAACTTACTTTAAAAAAAATAAAACTTCCAAGTAAGCTACTTAGAATAAAATATAATTTCCAAGAAATCTACGTAGAAGAAAATGCAACTTTCAGAAACTTACTTAGAAAATAATACAAACTCCTAGACATTTACATAGAACAAAATACAACTATCAAGACACTTAAAACAAAATACAACGACCAAGACACTTACTTAGAATAAAATACAACTACTAAGACACTTACTTAGAATAAAATACAACTACCTAGACACTTACAAGAAAATACAACGACCAAGACACTTAGAAGAAAATACAACGACCAAGACACTTAGAAGAAAATACAACGATCAACACACTTACTTAGAATAAAATACAACGACCAAGACACTTACTTAGAATAAAATACAACGACCAAGACACTTACTTAGAATAAAATACAACTAACAGGAAACTAACTTAAAAGAAAATACAACTACCTAGACACTTAAAACAAAATACAACGACCAACACACTTACTTAGGACAATTCCAATGCAGTAACCCACTGGGGCCTGAGTTTGTAAGAGCCCATAGAAGGCGGCGTATTCGGCTGTTCCATTGATGTACCCTCCACATATGTTTGACGCTGTAACAGATTTTAACTTTTTTCTCAAAGATTGGAACATTTGAATTATTAAATTTTACATTTAATAGATAAAAGGTATATACCAGATGAGTTCACATTCAGTAGCGTAGCCAGGATCTTCTCATGGGGGGGGGGGGTGTTCAAATTTTTACCCGGGGACAAACTTCCGATTTGCACCCCCCCCCCCTCAAAACTTTCGATTTGCACCCCCCTCATACTTTATATATATACAATGGGTCTATGGAGGGGGTTATGACCCCCCCCCCTAACCCCCCCCCCCCTGCCTACGCCACTGTTCACATTATAGTTAAATAATTGGGTGACTTCATACAAATATTTATTCTATTTTTCGTAACATCATGCGGTACCTAATGAGATATGGATGTTAGTGTTTTATGTACGCCAAAAACTGTGTCACATAATTTTAGATCACTAGAACCATGTTTGTTCAGTTCGTGAACTAAAATCCAAATCCTAACCCTAACCTGTTAATATAAACAACCCTAATCTGTTAATATAAACAACGCTAACCTGTTAATGTAAACAACCCTAACCTGTTAATGTAAACAACCCTAACCACAACCCAATGTTGCGATTGGCTATCATCACTTCCTCTGCATCCTTGGCCTTGTTTGTCTTCCTGGCAGCGACGATGCCGATGATGAGGATGAGGATGTAGAGGATGATGACAGCAACCAGACACGGGATGTTGACGGACATTGTTAGCTGCAGGCACCTACAGTATACTGGGCGTTAATTGCCTAAATTAGGAACAAAACAATTAAAAAGATAGTAAACGCAATTTTCAAAGAGACATTCTACTTGTCATAAATAGTATTTATCACAAGATGTTATGAAGAGCCTAAGAGATCTCACCTAAAACAATATATGTATGTATACAATGATGGTTCATCGGGGGTATTGCGCGGGTTCTGGAGGTTATATCCTCCCCCCCCCCGTGACCCCCAGAAAGACAACTATATTACGTAAAGTTACAGCTATTGTTGGTGATAGGCTCGTGTAGCTTTCAGTATCGTCAAACCAAATTTTTAGGTTCATTAGTGGCTTAGTGGCTTAAAACCGTTCAACAAAAAACTAAAACATCGCGCCTCCATTGTAAAACCCTACCTACTCCACTGTATATATTAAGCTAAGCTTATTCACGTTTATTTTACACCCAAAAAAAACCCCCACAATATATATATATATATATATATATATATATATATATATATATATATATATATATCTTACATATATATATACATCTTACAAATACTAAAGATGTAATAACAACAATTTGTATTTACAAATTTCTTAATTTCTTAGAATAAGCTAGGAATAATCAACTTACCTGATATTTTCAATACATGGAGATTTGAACACCTATCCCACGTCTGCTGAAAATGTTTTGACAGACAAATGTCGTTTGCTCATCAAGAGCTGACGCCAAGTAGAATTAAGGCCGTTTAATTAAAGTTGTTATTTATCAACATTAGTGAAGTGCCAAATGGATACACAAATGTATGCATCAATGCTAAAATACATTAGTTTTAATTAATTTAATTAATTTAATTTTTTATAGCTTGAACAGTGCGATAAAGCCCATGAGGTGTGTTTCGTCACCCATAGGATTAGGAACTTTTATAATTTAATTTTCTTTATTCATGGCAAGTTATAATAATGTATGCTTAGTAATCAAAAAACACTTTTAACATTATAGGCTGTAATTCGGTAAACTGGTTAAGGGGTCTCAAGCTAACGATGACGGGAGGCCACCCAGTTTTTCTCCTATCAAATGGCCTCCACAGACATACCCTCCAGGAGCACAACCTGGAAACATGTATAAGCCAATATCGCCAATCAATCGATTCCTTGAAAGACTTGAATGAAGTTTGTCTATCTCCTTTGCTCTATAAGGAGTAGGGTGTCTAGTGGTATTGCTATGTTTTCAGCTGACCAAAAGAATTATTTGACTTTCCGAACAGTTTGTTTTGACTGCTTCAAGCATTTTTATAGAGCCCAAGGTAAATTTAAAGAAATTATAAACAATAGTCAGGCATGTGACTTTTAGCTTACACAGATGTAGCTAGTGGCGTTACAAGGCGAGGATGAGAGGGGGGGCTGCTGTTGCTAACACCACTTTCAGGCAACACATAGAAAACAAATTCTAATATTCTACTGAGGAAATCTTCTTTCTTTCATTAATTTAACTACTTAATAAAGTTACTTCTACCTCCAAGTACAGTGATGAGACCATACTAGGTATATTTTATGGTTTATATATACATACATATATGTATATGTATATATATATATATATATATATATATATATATATATATATATATATATATATATATATATATATATATATATATATATATATATATATATATATATATATATATATATACATATATATATATATATATATATATATATATATATATATATATATATATATATATATATATATATACATATATGTTAAGACATTATATGGCACACATGACAAACCCCATATGGTCAAAGCCCCACTATGGTCAAACCAAATCGAAGCGATAATACTTAATAGGTGCGTGATGTGCGAACATACTAGGCGAAGAATTATATGAGTAAAAATCACTTAAACACCACTTTCTCGAGCTGGCCACGAAAGAGTGCCGTATTCGACGGAATGAAACATTACTTAGCGTCTAAGATTATAGGTACTGATATATTTAGGCCCTATATAAATGCAACACGTAGTCGCCCGTTTTCGTCTGGCGATCCCTTTTTTAATAAAACCTACAATCGACAAAAATAATTTTTAACGAGGTAATTAAAAGGCAACAAAAATAGTTTTTTAGTATAATTTTATTGTAAATTAGGTTTAGTCATTAATTTAATGCGGTAGTTACTAACCAATATAAAAAAATCGTTTGTTAACTAGATCCTCATGTAAAACTCTAATTTTATTCATCCATTTGTTTTAACGAAGAACTCAAATCCACGCTCGCTGGAATATGTAGACAAAAATGAAATTAAAACATGATAGGCAAGCGTCGCCACATTTAGGTATGAATAACAAATACCACACAGGAATAGTGTGAACAGTTGTTTTTTACTTAATCACGTTACGCGATTCATTTCCACAAATCCAAGAATTCTTTGTGTAAATCATCAATGATGGTTAAATTAATAAAAGTAGGAATTAAATTTGGTGCCAATGTAATTTCTTCTTCTAAAAAATGTTTTTTTTTTTATTTCACATTCAGATTCATCTACAACACTGAGGGGTGGTCGAGTCGGTAAAAGCTCATGGTTGCTAAACCGAATTGTCTCGAGTTCGAACCCTCGGGCAGATAAGGCTCGATTTTTTTTGGACAATTTCTAAATTAGATGTGTAGCATAATGTGTAAGCCTGAATCTATTTATTTTATTGGACAATATCTAAACTAGATTAGATGCATATTAATTATTATGTGCAGTAAAAAAAGTAAGCTTATGTTTTTATTTTGCTACACATTTCACTATTCTGTATACGACTTTTAAAATTGCTTACACCTTAATATAATATTTCGGTCTTATAAGTTCTTCCCGTCATACTTGTGTAGCCTTGTAATTGTTGTATGCTGTTCAATTAAAAGATCTAATGAATCATAAAAATATAATTTAAATTCAACAGTTTTTTTTTTACTTTCTCGTTTACGAAGTATGGAGAAAGTATTGTAATTGTGCATGAGTCGGAAAAACATAATTTTGCAATCTTGACCGTATGTCTGTCTGTGAACACGATAACTTGAGTACCGTTACAGCTAGATTGATGAAATTTCATATATAAGTATTATATCAAATTTGTAGTTCTGTAACTGTAACAACTTTTCAGCTATTTCCGGTACCCGGAAGTGACACTTATTCTACTTTCAATTTTTCAAAAGCCTATAAAACTTAAGTTCAGTTTCAGTTAGAAATTTCCACATATTTGTAGAAGATCTGTTTTCTGTCAAATTTTGAGTAATTTCCGATGATTGCAAGTAGTATTTTACCCTATTTCTGATTTTAAAAAAACGCATATGAATTTATTTTTAACTTGATTCCTGTCTCTTTTTACAAAGTAGTGATGTTCCACACTATTATACAAATATTATTAGCAATTCATTTGGTGCGCAATTCTTTTTTCTACGAGAGTCTTTTCTATATTTAAAAAAATTAAATATTTGAAAATTGATTTTTTTTTTTAAACGTCTACATCCCAACTGCACTTGAGTTGCCATCCCAGCATTCATTGCCATACAGTAGAGCGTTAACAACATAATTCCGAAAAGATAAGTTTGCATTTGGCCTTGGTGATATTTTTTTATCCCCATGTTTTTTGCATGGTAGTAAAGACTTGCTTTCCAAGGGGCAATCAACCAATAATTTATCAGATTGGAGACAATTATTTATTTATAGTATAAAAAAAAGAATCATGTCACAAAATCAAAGAATCCAATTTATTCACTGAAAACAGGCAGAGAGTATATTATAGAACAAAGGTTAAAGTATGAGAGTATCCTCTAGAAGTGAGCCCTCAGTTATTGTCTTGGAGGCTGTTTTTTTGTTGAAGGACCTGGATAAAGGTGCCCGGAGTCTGGCAGAGAAGGTGGAGCCTTCAGGTGAGTAGTCGGAGGGGATCATCATGGACAGGATGTTGGAGAAGGTGCTGGACGAGTTCTCCATGCTACAGGTGAGAGAACATTACAGGTGTGAGTATATCACAGGTGTGTGTATATCACAGGTGAGAGAACATCACAGGTGTGTATATCACAGGTGTGTGTATATCACAGGTGAGAGAACATCACAGGTGTGTATATCACAGGTGTGTGTATATCACAGGTGAGAGAACATCACAGGTGAGAGAACATCAAGGTGTGGGTATATCACAGGTGTGTGTATATCACAGGTGAGAGAACATCACAGGTGAGAGATACATTGCAGGTGTGTGTATATCACAGGTGTGTGTATACCATAGGTGTGTGTATATCACAGGTGAGGACTAACACCAATCGGGGGAGGGGGGAATACTATAGAAGTTTGTTACATTAGGGTAGGGTGGTAGTGTGTGGCCAGTAGCATTTATTTATTAATTGCTAGATGAGATTCCCTCTGAACAGTGTATCAGTATCAGTTCAGTGTGTGTTGTGTAAATTTCACTCACATTCAACAGTGTATCAAGTTACTTAGTATTATGAATAAAGAATGTGTTAAGTTACTTAGCATTACAATTAAACAATGTGTTAAGTTACTTAGTGTTACCTGCAAGTTTCCTCAATTTGTGCAGCTTTGGGATAAATTTTGAGAGAATCTTTTAATCCGTCTACTGCCATTTCTTTCTAAAATAATTGGGTAGATAAATACATCATAATGTGTACTAATATATTTTAGTCATGGGTTGACTTCAGCACTATAATATCAGGAAAGTTTTAGTTTAATTACTGGCTAAAAGACACTTCAATTTTTGTTTTTCATGTTTCAAATTTTTTTAAGCAGCATAAAAGTCATTATTTTTGTTCCAACTTTTTATTCTGATGTTTCTGTTAGGGTTAAAATTAGTATTCAGTTAGATGTATGGTTATCTTAAATAGGTGTTATTGGGATTTCAAGTTGGATTTAATATTGAGGCATTATTGGTGTTAGATTAAGATTTGGTTTTGTTTGTTATGAACAACAACCACATGAGTAAATAAATTTATTAATTAAAAAAAACTTCTATTGGTGAACTGTTCAAAATATCCGATGTTCACAAAATATTCACACTTAATTAAAAAATTTAAATTATAGGCCTGTAGCATGTGTTGCTAGCAGAACCTAAATATATTATTTAAATTATGCTGAAACCTGCTGTAAAAAACATTGCAAGAGGATACCAAAAGGCATTAAAACCAGACTTCAACAGGGTTTTTAAATGGAAACAAAGCAGTTTAATAACACTCAGAACAATTACAAATGGTTACCTTTGTTATTCATCATTAAATAATGATAAGCAGCTTTAGATAAACAAGATATTACAAAGTTCACAAGCTTACCTTATGTTGTTTCTTGTTTCTAAAGTACAAATTTTCCCTAACAGCTCTATCTCTACAGTCCTGGATTTTGGAAAAAAAAAAGTCCATAATTGTGACCTAACAAAATCTGGGACTTTGGTTTATTTATTGAGTCATCACTCCATTTAGAACATAAGTTACAATCATTTATTGGATTAAATTATTTTATATAATAACATGTTTAAAGAATGTTTTAAAGTGTAGAGTTAGTTTACAAAACTATTCAGTATATTACATTACTTTTGGTAAAAGCTATGGTAACTGACTTTTATTTAATAATAGATTTTTTATCTATTGACTTACAGAGTAATAAGTGGCTCTGGATATTGGTATCCACACTATGGATGAGACTACTACAACAATCAGCACAATGTTGCTCCTCATGAATTTTACTGGTTTAAAATTATATACAACAATTCAAATGTTATAGTTTCTCATAAACTTTAAGCCCAAACAAAATATAATTCAGTATAATAATCAATTTAAAAGCAAAGTTCCCATGGGGCAAGTGAAGTAGAGTTCACCTGTTACTTTGACCTCAGCATATGAAGTGATAGTGTGGTCAGCACTATGCCCAGCCACCTTTACTTTCCCTAACGCAAGTTAAATACCCAATAGAGCTGATTACACTCAAGGATTTTCTAATTAATTGAACCCAGATTAAAAAATAAAACATATTACAGTAAAATAATCAATAATTGCTTCTCATCAATTTTTACTGGTGAAAATAATAAAGGTCTAAAACCGTCTACAACATTCAGAACAATGTTTTTTCTTGCTAATTTTACTGTGAAATGTTTAACAACAATCAGTATAATACTACTTTCGTGAATTATAACTGGAAAAAATATTGTTAGTTTTCTTGAAAAATAAATAACAAGCAGAAAATTTCACAAATTAATCCTAGGTCCTATGAGTTAAACATCGAGGGAAGAAGAAAAAACTCACCAAGACCAACAGAAAATTTCACAAATTAATCCTAGGTCCTATGAGTTAAACATCGAGGGAAGAAGAAAAAACTCACCAAGACCAACAGAAAATTTCACAAATTAATCCTAGGTCCTATGACTTAAACATCGAGGGAAGAAGAAAAAACTCACCAAGACCAACAGAAAATTTCACAAATTAATCCTAGGTCCTATGACTTAAACATCGAGGGAAGAAGAAAAAACTCACCAAGACCAACAGAAAATTTCACAAATTAATCCTAGGTCCTATGACTTAAACATCGAGGGAAGAAGAAAAAACTCACCAAGACCAACAGAAAATTTCACAAATTAATCCTAGGTCCTATGACTTAAACATCGAGGGAAGAAGAAAAAACTCACCAGTACCAATAGAGGGAATTGACTTTAAGTATGTATGAATTCTGTATATCATTGAAGTTATGTTTCTTTTACAAAGCCCATCCTAAAACAACATAAATGGATTTGAACCAAAAAAATTTTGTAAATACTTATTAAAGTTATTTGTTTTACAAAACCAAGCATGAAAAAAAAAACAATGGTAAATGTTTATGATGTAATTGGAAAAACCTCTGATTTTACTAGACCACAATTAAAAAACCAATGAAGCCAACCTGGCAATAGCCGGAGTAACAAGGTCGGCCATCTTTTAAAATCTCTTCAGCATATGGAACACAAGCACCTGGCAGGTCTGGGTTACTGTAATCAAAGCAGCACCACTTGCAGGCATTTTCATCTACAAGATGAAACTTATCATATTATTTTGTGCACAATAAAATCATAGGTCTCGAAGGCAGTGCTTGAAAGAAAGGAACCAGACGTTTATTAATTAAACATCAGGACAACAGACTTGTGTTTAAAATATTAAACCCAGAAAAAAACCTTTCCAGATTAAATTTTCTTTAGTCAACAAATGATTGTGGGGACAGCACTATGCAAAGCAGCTTCTATGAAAATGAAACCAGGCACCTATCAGATTAGGGTAGACTCAGGTGATACACATTGTACACACATCAAAACACTACACAATGGTACAGCACACATGCACACACTACAAAAGTTGCAGCATACATGCACACATTGTTACAATACACATGCACACTACACACAGGTACAGCACACATGTACACATGACACACTGATACAGCACACACTACACATTGGTACAATACACATGCACACACTACAAAATGGTACAACACACATGCACACACAGGAAAAGCTTACATGCACAGACTACACATTGATACACCACACAAAAGATATTCAAACTACACCATCTGCAAGTGTTAGACAGGACCTACCAGAGGATTCACACAAACAAGGCTTCAGTGTCTTATTCTCTTTGATAGATTTGATCTCACATAAAGATCTGCACTCTCCATTGTAACACTGGCCCCTGTGAACAAACAAACATGTTCAGTATACTGTAATATATCCCCAGTTCTATCAACATGCTTGCCAGATAAGAGCTTTATCAGACCAAAATAAATGTTCAGTATCCTGAATTAATTCATTCTATAAAAAAAAACTTGCCAGAAAAGAAGTTTATCAGACCACAGCAAATTTACCCATCAATACATTTTGTCCAATTAGGCAAGTCCCTTGGTGGTGGACATACAAAGCTGTCCCCACTATGATGGTTAAAGAAAACAATTAAAATTCAATTGGAATATAAAATATAGGAGTTAGTTTTCAGATAAATATTAACTAAAAAAGAATGTATCAGAAAGGCCATTCATGCGTGAACTATAGTTCCCATAAATAGTGGAATAAAAAAAGAGCTGCACAATAGGGCAAAACCACGTAACCCCATAATTTTATTTAACATTTGTATACCATACCTAAATTGCAACATAATCTATTAAAATATTTGATGTTCTACTATGTGCATATTGTCTTTTCTGTCTAATCTGTAACCACACTGTTGTGTGCTGATGAAGACTTGGGTCAAAAACGTCCATAGTATTTGTAACTGTCTTTAACTTCTGTTTGTATGTGGTTTATTATGTACACTGCATATGTATAGAATCTGATTATGCTGTTGCTATATGCTGGGGCAAGCACTAAAAGGATACGTGCAGTAGCTTTTCTGTTTACACTCCACATCTCCAGTGTTGTAACACACGGTTCCATTCTTGGCCAGCACACAACCTAGGCAGCACTCTGTGTTCTGGTCACTGGGTAAGGAGTCAACACAAACATTGAAACAGTTGTGGTCAACAATACATGGTTTTACATGCCACACAAACATTGAAACAGATGTGTTCAACAGCACACTGTTCTACACGCCACACAAACAGATGTCGCCACACAAACAGATGTCAACAATACATGGTTCTACATGCCACAACCTAGGCAGCACTCTGTGTTCTGGTCACTGGGTAGCTAGTCAATACATTGAAACAGATGTGTTTGAAAGCACACGGTTCTACATGCCACACAAACATTGAAACAGATGTCGTAAACAATACATGGTTCTACATGCCACACAAACAGATGTCGTAAACAATAACATGGTTCTACATGCCACACAAACATTGAAACAGATGTCGTCAACAATACATGGTTCTACATGCTACATATTTAATTTAAATTTAGATATACATTAACACACTCATATGGCACACAATAACACTACACAGTGGTACAATACACAACAACACACTGTGTGCTGACCTACAGATAAAGCCTACAGCAGTTAGAATGGTTTGTACACATAAACACATACATCATATAAAAAGTGTAGATAAACACACTCATGTCACACAAGAAGACTACACGCTTGTACAGAACAAACCAACACACTGTGTTCTGACCAACAGATAAAGCATACAGTAAGTTGACAGAGACTGGTTTTGTAAACATAAACACACTCACATGGCACACAACAACACTACACACTAGTACAGAACACACCAACACACAGTGTACTGACCTACAGACAAATTGAGCAGCAATCTGACAGTGACTGTTACAGCACATATCCAGATGGACAAGACCCAAGGCGCCAGCATCACACTCCTCCCCTGGCTCCACTAAACCATTCCCACAGAAACTGTGCAGGGTTTTTCTCACTGAAAAAAGTGAAAAGAGTTCTCTTCTCAAACCTGATGTTCCATGGCACAAGTCAAATAGAGTTCACTTGTTTCAGTGACCCTGGCTGACAAAAGGACAGGGTGGTCAGCACTAAGCACAGTCACCCTTACGTTTACTAAAGTTGACTTGAACCCTGACTTGAATTCAAGACTTTCAGCTTAGAAGTCAAGCACTCTACAGCATGGCATTGCCTTCCCATTTTGAAACATTTTATGGCTTTAGAAAGTGATCTTTTTTACAGCAATACTGAAAGTAGTGAAAGCTGATAAAAGTGGCTGGGCATGGAATTACACTTTCACCCTTACATGCAGAGAAATAGGTTAACTTCGTCTCATCTACTACTGTTTTTATTTCTATCAAAGATTACAAGTATAAAACTTTTGTGAAGCTATAAGAAAAATGGTTGGTATGGTAGCATCATTGGTACACATGACAACCAGGCTTACCCTTTAAACAATGAATCCATTCTAAGGTTCTGCCTATACTTCTACAACCAGGCTTACCCTTTAAACAATGAATCCATTCTAAGGTTCTGCCTATACTTCTCAGTGAACAAGGTGAAAAGAACTGGGAAAAGAAGAACTAGTTCAGGGATTTGCTATCTCTATATCTAGAGTTATAATGATGTTATTGATGTCTAGGGGGCTAAAGGATGGATTATTGTGTAAGATGTAACTGAATGTGTAAAATGTGACTAAATGTGTAAGAGGTGACTGAATGTGTAAGATGTAACAGTATGTGTAAGAGGTGACTGAATGTGTAAGATGTAACAGTATGTGTAAGATGTGACTGAATGTGTAAGATGTGACTGTATGTGTAAGATGTAACTGAATGTGTAAGATGTGACTGTATGTGTAAGATGTGACTGTATGTGTAAGATGTGACTGAATGTTTAAGATGTGACTGAATGTGTAAGATGTGACTGAATGTGTAAGATGTAACTGAATGTGTAAGATGTAACTGTATGTGTAAGATATGACTGTATGTGTAAGATGTGACTGAATGTGTAAGATGTGACTGAATGTTTAAGTTGTGATTGAAGGGGTAAGATGTAATTGAATGTTTAAGATACAACCAAATGTGTAAGATGTAACAGTATGTGTAAGATGTAATAGTATGTGTAAGATGTAACAGTATGTGTAAGATGTAACTGAATGTGTAAGATGTAACTGAATGTGTAAGATGTAACTGAATGTGTAAGATGTAATGTGTAAGAGGTAACTGACCTTGTTATTAACAAACCTCCCTGACTGGGATCTGTCCCACATCAGGTACTTGCCCCCATTTTGATCTGAGGGTGCACACTCACTGGTCAAGGGGTCATGGTCGCTGCCAAAATTGTGACCTGAAGACAGGTACATCAAAAACTATCTACAAGGCAAAATTAGCTCAAACTCCAAAACTAGTTTTTTAAGTGATAAAAATAATTATTTTAGAATTACAAAGACTTTTTTCAAGAATATATTTTCTCTTCATAAAATTATGCACAGCCATTGATAAAAAAAGGTATCAATATTTTAATAGTGACTATATTATATTAATGATTTTTTAAGTGATAATAAGTAAAGAATAAATGTGGAAAGGTGTGTTAATAACTTATACAATAGAATTTAGCAACCTCTAACCTAATAGATGACAAAAGCTAATATAATTTTAAAATGTTCATGTCATTTAGCACAGGGCTAGTCAAAATATTTTTTGTAACATAAACATAATTTTATATTGCACAACTTAACTTCTTCTGTCCTGACAATGACAATCAAATTGTAGAATTATAAGATATCAAAAAGCAATTAGCGTTTTTAATTTTTTTTTTACTTTTTTAAAATAAACAGCAACTGTAAATTTTAAACAAAAACCTCAACATACACAACCTACCTATTTCTACAGAAGAAAGAAAAAAATAAAAATAAATATACAATTAAAATTAACTCTATCAGTTTAATTATTTTTATTTTCCGTTTTAAATGTGTTAAATAGCAGAGAATAATATGTAGGCCTACCATGGAGTGGTCTAGCGGTAGAGAGCTGGATTGCTAACCCGTAAGTCACGAGTTCGAATCCGGGTTCAAGTCAGTAGAACGTCCTTGAGTCCACCCAACTCTGATGGGTACCTAACTCACGTTAGGGAAAGTAAAGGCGGCTGGGCATAGTGCTGACCACACTATCTCTTCATATGCCGAGGTCACAGAAACAAGTGAACTCTACTTCACTTGCCCCATAGACCTTCAAGTTTGAAAGGGAAACTTTACTTACTACCAGCTAACAGCCATGGACTTACCATGAGCCATGACAATATTAAGCAGTAGGCTAGGTATCGGCCCATTCTGGATGTCAGTATCTGAAGAAACTCCAACATTTGGGGCGTTAACTCCAGCAAAGCTCACTAAAAAATGCATAATTAAAACATTATTATGTGGACATTAAAATTGCAACTTCAGCATTTTAAAAAGGGAATTTTTAAACATAATATAATATAAATTAAAGAGGGACAACATATATTTTAACACATATCTATACCCCTTCCCCCACCACTAAAAATAAACTGAAAGTACTTAGAAGTAGCCTATAGATTGTCATTAAAGTTGATTATAAAAAAAACTTAATTATAAGTAAATTACTTCTGCATATGCCATCCAGCTTGGCTAGTCCAAGAATGTGTTTAGGCATTGGGTAGCTGGTCAGTAAATGTCCCAAACAAACTGGAGTCACCACATTCACAAAGCTCATGTGGTATGCAAAGGACTGAAATAGTTAATAATTGATGTTCAAACATTGCTATACCAGTAGATCTATGTAGTATACAAAGGACTGAAAGAGTTAATAATTGATGTTCAAACATTGCTATACCAGTAGATCTATGTAGTATGCAAAGGACTGAAAGAGTTAATAATTGATGTTCAAACATTGCTATACCAGTAGATCTATGTAGTATGCAAAGGACTGAAAGGGTTAATAATTGATGTTCAAATATTGCTATACCAGTAGATTAATGTAGTATGCAAAGGACTGAAAGAGTAAATAATTGATGTTCAAACATTGCTATACCAGTAGATCTATGTAGTACACAAAGGACTGCCACTATAGCTTTTTAACAATGATTGCAATTATGTGGTATTTGAAAAAACAATCTCATATTTGTTTTTAAAGCCATAAATCTATTTTTACATTAATCAGATTAAAGTTATAAAAATAAGACAAAAAATAACTCAAAGATTTTCTATTTTCCACAATCATTTTTTAAATGCTAAACAAAAATCATTTTACCTGCCACATTAATTTGAATAGCTGGACAATATATTGATAAATCTTCTACTCATCATTAGTAGCTTATACTAATAACCCCTTTTTATTCTCCATTAATTCATTGAGTAAACACAGACATAATGTACAACTTACTTCCATCTTGGAATGCATGTCCCAACTAGCATGCCAAGAATTGAAATGAGTTACTGGAATGTTTGTTGTGATAGTTGGGGTCGTGTAGAGGACAATCTAATAAAATAAACACATTTAAGTGAAGCTAGATCTTCAGAGATATCTGGCCACCTTTGTCTGGTGTAATGGTGTAGTGTAGAGGACAATCTAATAAAATAAATTAATAAACAGCCAGATCTTCAGAGAAACCTGGAGAATAGGACTAGTTAGAATGGCAAATAACATTTTATGGTGGTGCTTGCCTGTAGTATAAAGGTTCATACTTAAAAATGACATGTTACCTCCCTTGATTCAATTATTTGTTGTTTTTTATGTTGCCATATTCCATATTAATTTTCTTTTTTTTTTTGCTTTAAGGAGTAACATCATAACATGAAAGATATTTTTCCAATCATTTGTTTGAGTTTCTTTATTTAGCAATAAAAAATATCTATGCAATTGAAATGAAAATAAAAAATAGTAGGACTGAAAAGTGTAAGTGTAAGAGAGGACTGAATTCTAACGCAATTAATACCAGGATGTTGTCTAATAAAATATCAGCAGCTGACTTACCACAGATATGCGAATCCCAATGCCTGTGAAGACCTCGAAGTCCCCACCAACAAACTTTGATTGTCTATAGATTCTGTCTACGTTCTGGACCAGACTTACCTGCTCATGGCAAGATTTATATTTCATTTATCAATTTCATTCATCAATTAATTACAGAGCTTGCAATTAAACTAAAGATCTTTACACTATATTGTCATTTCATAGGCATATTACATAACAGAAGGTGTTTTAAAATAAAAAAAATATTTTATTAGTAAGCAATTTTGTAAATAAACAACATTAGAAATAGAATGTTATGAAAGTGTATCATTCATAGAGGTGACAAGGCATTTTATAAATTTATTTTGGTTCTAAATATAGATATGCCATGAAAATCCTCGACAAACACCCAGACAATTGAGATGGTACAATCCTTACTATCTTGGATGATAAAAAAATATTGATACCTAAATAATTATTGGGATTGTTCTGCTTAGCTCTACAATTAGCTGTAGTAGGCTATAAAAATGGGACATCAATATTTACTTAGTTACTGAGGAATTATGAAATAAAACATTTTGGTCCAAAAACGCAACTATGTTAAGAAAATGAAGAAGTGAAAAGGAAAGTATTTAAACTCTGAACTAAAGAACAAATATTGTAAGCTCTTACAATATTATATTATACCATCAATGATAAACATGCCAGGTGCTGCTTCCTGCAACGATTGGAATAAAAGTCAAAGTCTGCTACCAGGTATAAAAGACAGGTGTCTCCGGACAATGATCTTTTTACCTTGGTATCTGATGAAATAGTAAATATACATTAAAAAAACAAAATATTTATGTGAAGTTGTGTTTCAGAGGTTGTTTTTTTTCATATACCAGTATAAAAAAATTAAGTAAAAACTTGATGTTTTAATAAAAAATTTAAATATTTACTTTTTTTCAAGAAAGAAGGATGTTTCACATAGTTTGTTGAGAAGTGCTGACTTTTTGTATGTGAACTCTCAACACCACTGTAATTAATTTCAAGTTTTTTTTTTAAAAATGAAATGAAGAAAGTAAAATGATATATTAAATAAATATATAAATATAAATATAAATATCAGTGAAATTAGGGAAAAAACTTGTGACTGTTTTGTTAATTAAATAACAATTTTAAATAATTTAAGTTATATTTCTATGTCCAAGCTAAAACAAGTGATTTTCAATACATTATTAAATTAAGTCAATAAATTTTTAAGTTAACTTTTTATCTATTAAAAATATCTTGTATAGAATACAAACTTAGTAAAAAAAAACTTACCATCTGCCAACACTATCTACTAAATCTGAACTTCTATATGCTATCAGTGTATCATTGTGTGGGTTTTCAGATGATTTTAAAAGATTAACTGCAGGCTATAAAAAGCAACATAAAATATTTTTAAAATTGTTTCCATATAAAAGGCATTATGTTTAAAAATTTACTATAACAATTTGCTATTCAAATTTTCTTATAAAAATAAAACCTAATTGAAAATTGGATACAGCTGTTGATTATAAGAATTTTTTAATAATAAAATTGTTATAGTTTTATAGTTGTAGTTATATTAGGTAACAGACCTTATATGGTGTGACTTACCTCAATAACATATGTATCATTTTCTTCAAAAATCTGCAATGCTAACAATGTACCTTCCATATAAGCACTAACATAGACTGCTGGGTTATCTAAAAACAAAAATGGAAAAATTATTTTCTGCTCCCACACATCTGCCTCTGTAAACCCATACTCCCTAGCACTGTAGAACATTACTTTTGTGTATTTTACAAAACACCAACTCCTATGATAGGTAAGCTTTATCAATCAATTTAACCTGTTATTCATTGTTGTAAAAATATGACAGTTTAAAGTCCATGAGCATCAATGACACTGATTCTCAACCAATCTCTTACACAGGCACAACCAACTTGAGCTATGCCATTAAACCAGGCAGACCACAACAAGTTGAGCAATAGAGCGTTTCTCTTACACCTACACCTCTGTACCCAAAATCTACCAGGTTTTTACTTCCACCAACAAACACCCAGTTTGGGGAGTAGTTTGGTTAAGCCATGAATAATGGTCTAGGGTTGGGGTTAGAACTCAAGTTCTCAACTCAAGTTCTGAACTCAAGATGTTCTACCAATAGACAATGCTGAACGATATCTCCACCGCTATAAATAAATACTAACCTTTTTTTTTTTCAAAATTATTTATCAGATACAAATAAATGATATGTACTTTACATTTCCAGCTTAGGATAGTTAAATCTAGAAAATGCGAAAAAATTAAAGCATAAAGTAAAATTATGTTGCCACAATATGACTAAGCACCTGTACAATGTCCTGTGAAAACCAAGATTTGATCGACAGCCAATGATTTTTTTCTGTCGTCTGCATCAACTATGTAGGCCTTGAACTCTTCAGCTAGAACATCAGTGTCTGGCCTAAGTGTTAGCTGGAAGTTCCTGAAAACAGTTATGTTTATAGTTTATGTATGAATTAATAAAATTAATAAATCTAAAAACAGAGATTAAGCATTTAACCTCATGTATAAAATAACAGTCAACATTTTTTTAAATAAAACAATTTAGAAATTTAACAGAGATACAGAATTTAAAATAAAATGCATGAAATATTTTGTGTGCATTACCTGTTGAATATTTTAAACTTCACAAATTTATAAAATACTTGAATGTCAGCTGATCTTTTAACATAAGTTGAAATGCCCATTTCACTTAGTGTCTCAAAATAGTTTACATTCACTATCCCACAAGCTGGAAGAAAAAGGTAAATTGTTTTTAATTCAGTGCTTGTCCTGTTTTGTGGAACTATCAACTACATTCCAATGACTTTATTTGCAATGATATAGAAGAAACATTTCTACACATCATTAACTGAGTTATTAGCCTATATATTGGCCTGTCTTCTGATCACAGAGCAACAATGACCTTTGATCCAGGGCTGCAAACCCATAAACAATTTTCAGTTACAAAAGCATTGATTTTCTGTAATTATAAGCCTTTAACCACAACCTTTTAAAGAATACTTTTAACACTTTTTTTTAGATAAGGTCAATAAGTCTAATTAAATATCACAAAATGTATTGGCTTAACGATTACTTTTAAATTAAGAAATGTAGGCCTACTTAGTGTAATAAAAAAACATACTTTTTAAAAATCTGCACTTAATTATCAGAATGAAATTGTTCATTGATTCTTGATAATTTTAAAAATAAATATGTAAGCGCTTGTATAGTATATCATTTTTGTGACTGGAACCTTTGGGAAACTGTTAATGTGCAATCAACATTGACAAGGTTTGAGAAAGTTCACACTATACTATAGGTCTAACAACTCCTGCCCACATTGATATTGAGTCATTGACAGGAAAGGAGGTGATGTTATCAAAAAAGTTTGTAAACAAAAACACCAGAAAATACAGCTGTTAAAACTCAAGACCAGGAACCAAACACTAATTTCTGTTGGTCACAATTTTTAAATTATTTTACAGATGACAACAGCATTGCTGTTTAGGCATAATCAGCCATAATTTAATCTTAATAATACCATAACCTGGGTACCAAAATAGTAAAATTATTAAAATTGTAAGTTAGGCTAGGCGGCTAGGTCTAGATTACTCTAGATTTCTTTTAAAAAGTTTTAAAGTCTAGTTAATTAGATCTATTTATTTATTATAAATGTTATAGATTCTAATGATGTACCAAATCCTAAAATTATTGATGTCAACATAGATCTAGTCGCGAGCAGGATCATAATGTGTTTACAATTATTAAGACAATCGCAGAACTTGAAAATGAAAATCTCGGAGAAAATATTTGTAATTTTTACACCAATCTGGAAAGGGGCTTTGCCAGATGCTAGTTACATTATAATTTTCAAAACACATTTAAAAATTTCTTTATACAATCAATAGTTAGACAATAACTATGTAAAAATTCAGCATTTATTGGTGTTGTTTAACAATATAACATTTTAGAATAACAAACTTAAAGTTGTTATTATTTTTTAACTTTGAAGATGATGTAAAGGTGGGCTAATTTTTAAAGTTTTTCAGCAATTTGGCCAACTTAACAAATTAGCATAATTTTTTATTCGCATTCATGTCTAGAATCTAGGTCTCTTTATTTGATGAAGCTCGATCAGACAATTTTATAGGGGAATTTCATTCAATTACAAGATGATTAGTTGTTCAAAAATCACGAAAAAATAGTTACTTCGTTTTATAAATATTAGTATTATTCGACGTAAGTTTATAGGGCCTACATTCGTAGTTACGTTGTTTGTTTGGTGTGTACAAACAAAAATTCACGCACCTCAAGCACTTACCTGTTAATCATCGTGTCGATGATCTTGTTGATGGGTCCTGTTGTTGATGGGCAGAGGCGTAGCGAGGGGGGGGGGGGGGCGGGGAGGACATATGTCCCCGGGCGCCGACCGTAGGAGGGCGCCAAAATGGGTTGGAAAAACAAATTGAAAGTTTGAGGGGGGAGGGTGCAAATCAAAAGTTCGAGGGCGGGGTGCAAATCGAAAGTTTGTCCCCGGGCGCCGGGAAGGGTCGCTACGCCTCTGTTGATGGGTCCATCAAAACATTTTAATTGGGGACAATAGATAGCTAAATGGGATGGCGTGGCCTAAGCGGTAGAGCGCTAGGCTGCTAACCCGAAAATCTCTAGTTCGAATCGGGGTTCATAGCAGTACAATTTCCCTGAGGAGACATCCATTTATGACGTCCACATTTTTTTTTTTTTTTTTTTTTTGGGATTTTGGACCACGTCCACAAAAATCCACTTAATTCCCCTTTAGAAGTAGGCCTACACACGCGTCCGCAATAGTCAATTTTTTTCGCCTCTCCCCCCCCCCCCCCCCCCCCCCACCGTGTGGACGTCATAAATGGATGACCCCTGAGTCACCTAGCTTTGATGGGTACCTAGCTATTGTAAAGTAAAGTAAAGGCGGCTGGACAAAGGAGAGGCGTAGCGAGGGGTGGGGGGGACGGGAAATATGTCCCAAAATGGGTTGGAAAATTAAATTCAAAGCCTTAAAGTGGGTGCAAATTGAAAGTTTGAGGGGGGGTGTAAATCGAAATATTGAGGGGGGTGCAAATCGAAAGTTTGAGAGGGGGGTGCAAATTGAAAGTTTGTCCCCGGGCGCCGGGAAGGGTCGCTACGCCTCTGGGACAAAGTGCTGACCACACCTTCCCTTCATATACCAAGATCAAGAAACATATGCATTCAGTAGCGTAGCGAGAGGGGGGGGGGCGATGTCCCCGGGCGCCAACCTTAGGGGGCGCCAAAATTGGTTGGAAAAATAAATTGAAAGGTTGAGGGGGGTGCAAATCGAAAGTTTGTCCCCGGGCGCCGGGAAGGGTCGCTACGCCTCTGGGACAAAGTTTCTACCATTTTGCCTCGGAATGGTGGGGGATACCTAGAAAAACTGCCTCACACCCGATCCCCCCCCCCCTTTCGCTTTTGAGATCTTACCCACCCTCTCGTAAGAGGAGGTAACCAAGCTTGGTTGATGCTATCGATAATATTAATAGAGTTGCCTCGCTTTAAAAAAGGAAATTGGGGTGTTGGGAAATTGCGAGACGCGAATTAGACCTAGCCATAATATTTTATTAAAAATATCCAAGAATATATTAAAAACATTTTCATTAGCTGATTAATTTCGTACCTTGTAGCTTCGACCGAATTTACGTACCTAAAACAATATATTATCATAAAAGCTTATAATAAAAGTAAAGCTTGTAAATTATTATAAAAACAAAACGATACGATAGGCTAGTAAAACTGAAGGGAAGCTACTCTAATATTTATTCTGAAAGTTGGCCTCTGTTTTCATTCATTTCCTAGTAGACCAGTTTCAGTTCAGGACATTTTTCATCAAGATTTCTAGATCTAGATCTATGGTGACTTACTAAATATTACTAGATCTTGATCTAATAACTTACTAATAGTTAATTGTACTATATTCAACTATACTATACTCAACTATATACCTATAGGCCTAGGCCTACTGAATTGTAATTTTTGTGCATAAAATAATAATTAAAATATGCTGCTGTAACACTAACAGCAATGTTTATGCTAAAGCATAGGCTTTTTGATGAGAATTACAGAATGATTTTTTTTATTAAAAATGTATCAATAATAGCTAGAACACTAGTAAACTAAGCTAATTTAGCATATTTTAACTTTCTGTGTAAAGTCATTATTACTGAAAAAAAATTCCAAAGTCAGGTCAGTCTGTGGCAACCTCCAATGAACTTGACAGAAGGAAAAAAAACTTGACCCGTGACCTTCATTAAAACAGAATTTGCTTTTGTTTTTTTTTTAATTTTCAGTATACATGTGCTTAATCTTACCCAATAAGTGATAAAAATTTGAAAATTAATTTTAATTACTGGTGTAAAGTGACATAAACAGCTTAATAAACACGTGTTTTCTTGAGGGGGTGTGGCCCGGGTGTGGCACATCCTGACATCGCATTGTTTGTAACTTTATATTTCTGTGTTTTATGACTATATTTGTTCACAATCAGCATGCTATGCTTTTAATTTTGATAAAGGGTAAGTATACCAAGTTACAAAACCTGAAATCTAACTAATAATTCATACTTTCAGTTTAAAAAATAATGAAAACGATCATCAATGAAGAAAGCGTAAACATTCTATTTTTAGGTGTGACATAAAAAAACAGTCATAAATCTAGCCAAATGATTGGATTCTTGCGCAGCACACATTTTCCCGCGCCTCGTTTTCACTAAGCAAGATTATAATAAAATGGCATTATTGGGGGGTGATCGTTTTCCCACGCACATATCTCATTAACACGCCAAATTATTACCAGTTAATGGTAATGTGTGTAAAATTAATACTTTAAAGTTTACATCTGACATAAGCTGGTTTGCATCTGGAAGCGATATGTAAGAGTTATTTGATATAAAAGACAAGAATTCATAGAGCTACTTTCACTAAGGCGCCGCTTGCGAGACAAACAAAGGAATTAGGCCAAAAGTAGATCCGACAATTCTTAAATAACAGACTTAAATAGAAACGGATAGTTCCGATTTCTTAAATTAACGATGGCTTCGTAATCATTAGTTTTATCGCTCTACCCATTAGTGAAAGCGAAACTGGTCGCCATTTTTGGTAAGCGCATGAGCCGTGAGATGGCTTCAAAACAACAAACCCGGAAGCTGCGAATTCGAACGGCCTACTAAAGCAGGTAATCTATCGTTTTGGGTACGTAAAATCGCCCGCGGCTATTAATGAACGAAAACGTTACCTCATTGTCAAGGCTGTAATAGAAGTATATTGTGATATGTTTGTGTCAAATATTATAGATAAATGAATAATAAACCTAAATCAATGGCTAAATATATCAATATAGGCCCGAAATTAACTTTAAACAGCAGTGTCTGCAAGCAAGATTTGCTATATAAACAGCCGCCATTTGACTTGTAAAATAGAGTGACTTCCGCCTGAATCTTGCGCTATAAGTCTATAAAAATAAAACTTTAACAAGATGGCTGCTATAGTAAATGAGTATGGTTGCATCTGTTGGAAACATCGCTGGTGTTCATTTATTACTGAAAAGTTTTAATTCAATTGTTTAGAAACAGGTACATAAATGAAACAAGGAAACATTTTTGTATTTTTCAAAACATAAATCCTCCTCAAAATGTGAAATAATTATTAAAATGTAAGGAGTCACCTGTTTTTCACATTACTAGTCGCGGGCGATTTTACGTACCTAAAACGATAGATTACCCTAAAGCATATGAATTAGTTAGTAATAGTTAGTATTATTCATTTAATATTTAATAAGTATTTTTAACTACCATGTTAAAATAGTTTTTAAAGACTGAGATGATCCTTCACCTTTACCAGGCTTGGTGTGATATTCATAATTCACTAAGCTTTTTGTGTCCAGGCATGGCATAGATAATAATAGATATAGATTATGCTTGACTGCTAAGTCTCAAGTTTGAATCCGGGTTCAAGTCAATACAATCTCCCTGAGTCCACCCAGCTCTAAATGGGTACCGAACTCATGTTAAGGAAAAGTAAAGGTGGATAGACACAATACTGACCACACCAAGGTTACAGAAACAGGTGTACTCTACTTAACTTGCCTCATAGGCTGTCGTCTGGAAAATGGAACTTTTTTTTTGTTCAGGCAGTTTAAAAATATTTGATCAAGATTTGATCTTCATGTGCATTGTTTTGTCACCGCAACTCAAAACAAAAATTTTAAAAAAGATTCAATAAAATAAATTATGTCAAATTTGAAAACAGGATAAATAATTAAATGTAGCTACAAATCTGCTTGTGCAAAAAGTCTAGTAGTAGTAGGCCAACACAAAATAACACAATGAAAGGGTAGATCATTGTCATTTGCAGTCTTAACAAAGTCCTATCATCCCTTAGCCATGTCTTAGATTGATAATTAGACTTATTACTCGGGGGAAAATAAATACACAACTTTATTTGTAGCAATAGAGCCTACTACTGTAAGCCACCTTAATAGGATGTCACCTTTCAAAAAACATTGTTTTAGTGATCTTTTTAGGCAGCTAATTTTCCTTTTTATGAACACTATGTATAATTTCATTTTTTAGCCCAATTTCCATTCTGGAGAATTGCGTTTATTAACTCGTCATTTCTGGGAATGGATGGATGGATGGATGTATGGATGGATGTGTGTCCGCAGCTTTAAGTCGTCTTTAAGTCGTATCTCCTCCTCAACAAAGCAATATCGAGGACTAGTTCCAAAAGCAAATATGTTAAGCAAGTTCCGAGGATGAACATAGGCCAAAAAAATTCCCGGAATTCCTTCCTGGATTTCCCGGAAAAGCCAAAAAAACCTCGAAAAAATGCAGTTTTTGGCACATATCTTGGCAACCAGACCACTTAGCGACTTGAAACATTTACCAATCGATTCCTGCCATAATTTAGAACAATATTGCCGAAGAAAGTTTTCAAAAATATCCTTTCGTTCGGCCACAAAAAATTAATTAAGAATTTTTAAACTGAGCATCGTGTAGGCCAAGGGTGATTTAGCGCAAAGCGCTGAGGTTCGATAGGATTTTACCATAGCGGAGGTTCGAAAGGATTTTTTCTATTTTGTTTTGAATTATTGAAACTACTTGTGTTGCATTATTTATTTGCTGAATATATGATTTATCTCGATTTAAAATTGTTATGGATAACATAAGGCAATTGTGCTTAAATTGTCACTAGACTTTTTATTAAATTTTTTACACAGATAGCTCAATCTACTAATCACCCACACCCTTCACATCTAGATTGACATTAAAAGTTTTCACTAAGCCCAGACTTTACTAACTTTTACACTTGACCTTCACTATTGGAAGCAAATTTTTTAACATTTTTACTGTCAACTTCAGCATTATTATCCACATATTACACTAGGAAATCACAATATTTAATGTTAATATCATCGCTTCTCAGTGGTGTAGCGAGGTCAGGTGTAACCCGGTGCGGCACTTAATGGTGTCTACCCCCCCCCCCCCCCCCACCCAGAGGCGTAGCGACCCTTCCCGGGGACAAACTTTCAAATTTTCAATTTGCACCCCCCCACCCCCTCAAGTTTTTCTCTATATATTTTGCTATTTTTTGCCTTGGTGTCACCCCCCTAACTGGTGTCACCCGGTGCGGTCCGCACCCCCCGATTGTAGGAAAAAAAGTCACAGGAAAAAAAAACACAGGAAAAAAAGTCACAGGAAAAAAAGTCACAAATATATATTTGCATGATACTTGTTAATACTTTTATGTATTAAATATTCAGAGAGTGCAAATTAACTTAGGATTAATTAAATGTAATGTAATGTGTGTAGGCTGTATACGCATAGGAATTTTTATAATTCATCTAAAAATATTTAGTATGAAGTATGTAGATTGTAATTATTTTAAACTTAAGATTAGTAGCGTTTAATAGAATGCTCCAAAGTCCACGGTTTTAATCCTGTTTTTTTTTAAATACCAACATTAAATTACCGTGAAATGGTAAGTTCGTCTGACTTGCTGCCCTCAACTCATGGCCACAATAGTTATGTTTAGATGTTTAGTTCAACCACCTTTACTGCCCACATTTATCACGCTCATTACATAACAACACTGAGGATCAAACAAGAAAGCCGACAAGGTTCAAATGCTGTCATTGACGCATGACGTCAACAACACAAAATATGTTCGGACAATGCCTACTGAGGAGAGGCCGACCAGAGAATAGCCTACGGCAAAATGTGCCTAAATTTTTTTTATAGTTAAATTTTCTACCGCGTTTTTAACTAAATACGTAACAAAAGTTGAGATTGTTGTGTAAATTATATTAGAGTATTTTTACTTACAATTGTTATAAACCATAATGCTTTTAACGTCTATAAATAATTTATGCTATAAAAAAATACAACCCACAACAAGAAAAATACAAAATTTTACAATTCTAAACAAATAAAAAAAATATTTCTAAAAATATTTTTGTGACTTTTTTTCTGTGACTTTATTTCTGTGACTTTTTTTCCAAAATTTTTTTTCCACTGTGACTTTTTTTTCTGTGACTTTTTTTCCTAGCAAAAACTGTGACTTTTTTTCTGTGTTTTTTTTTTCTGTGACTTTTTTTCCGTTTACCCACCCCCCGCCCCCCCCCCCCTCCTCGCTACGCCCCTGTCGCTTCTTCATAGTTTTGGTGTAAGCACTGCCCTGCCCCCTAGGTCATGAGAATTGGTAATCTTTAGACTTTTGACCTTCTATGCCCTAGACCCCTATCTGCCCTGTTTATCCTTTTCAGTTCTTTAGTTCTATAAATAAGTAAACTGATTTTGTGTAGTCTGCCACAAGGTTATCTTATCAATCCAAAGTTTAACTATTTTAATAACTGTTCTTTCTCTGGTTTACTTCAGAAATATATGAAAATAATGCCAGAGTACAAATTGAAACAATCTAATGAATGAGTTTAGGATTTTTGTAGTGTGTGACTTTAGTTATGAACTATACTCTCATTTCTTTGGTTTATTTTAGAAGTAATCTTCCATGAACACAATGCAAGAGTTTGAACCAAGCGAGGAGCAGTATGGCTCACCCCCCAAGGATCAACAAGATACCCCACAGGCTGCCAACATAAATTGTCCTCTGTGTCAACAAGATCCTCCACAGGCTGTACTTGACAACGGATATTGTCTTCTGTGTGAACAAGATACTTCAAAGGCTGTACTTGTCAACAGATATTGTCCTCTGTGTCAAGTCCCTAACTGCAAGCATTTTGAGTTGCTTCAAAAATTAAGGAATCCTCCCACCTCAAATGTGAAATATTGTGAGTTAAAAAACCATAACAAAGAGCTTAAGCTGTTCTGTAAAGTTTGTATCGAACCCATCTGCGAGGAGTGCAACAATGGTATATATTATTTTGTTATTATCACTGAAAGATATTTAAATATAATGTACAATAAAAAATCATTAATGTATGACAAAAGTTTTAAAAATTTGACTGTTTTCCTGATCTGTGAAATTAAGATATGTGTTTATGTTTTTTATTTTTGCTACCCTGTATTTACAGCTGAACACAAACTGCATGATGTTCAAGAATTGTACAAAGTGCAACGAGATTTGAAAAAGAACTTAATGTTGCAAATGTTGAATAAAAAATGCATAAATTCAGAGGCTGATGAAAATTCTTTGAAAGAATCTATTTTGTCACAAATTAAAAATATTAAAACTGAAATACAATTATGTTATGAAAATGTAAGTTACTAGATTTCAATTTCAAGGCATTTAATGCAACTATTAGGGCATTTCATGCAATTATTTTAAAAAATCTATGCTTTAGACTGAAAAGTTCCACTAAAAATAATGAAATACTTTTCTATTAAAAAAATAATTCTTTATTTTTCAGTTACATAATGAAATAAATGTAGCTCTTCAAAGGGCTATATACAATTTGGATAACCTAAGTAAGAAATTGTTATTCTTTGTCATTTTTACTAGCTAATGCAAAACTATTCTTTCATTTAAAAAATGTTTTTTATTCAGGGGTCTAAAGCCAATATATATTTTTACTATAGCAAGCAGAAGAATGTCTATCCATTTTTCCAGTGGTCATGTTGCAAATGCATTATCATTTTATCTTAAGAAGCTTTATTCTTCACAATGTATCATTTAACATCAAGAAAAATATATTAGTATATAACATTCTATTTTTTAAATTTTATGGAAGGCCTATATGGTACATTTGGGGCAGATGAAGTAGAGTTCATCGTTGTTTCAATTACTTCAGCATATGAAGGGGTATTGTGGTCAGTACTATACCCAGCTGCCTTTGTTTTCCAAATGTGAGTCAGGTACCCATCACAGCTGGGTGGACTCAAGGCTGCCCCGCAGTTACCAGTCTGAACCTTCAGCCTAGCAGTCAAATACTCTGCTATTTGACCACACTGCCCCTTTTGTCCCTAGTTTTGGTCCTAGTAAAGCATCAGAACTGTAAACATCAGTGTCCATTAGATAATTTCCCCAAGTTAGAATAAAGATAGAATTTCTTGAGTTTTAAAGAAAATTACATGGTCTTAAGCACATTTATGTATGTCTATGGATTTCTTAACTTAATTTTTGTACATGATCAGGTAAAGAGCTACAAACAGAATGTGACCAAACTTTGCAGAAGTATAAAAATTGCCAATCTTTTCTCTCTGAGTTTGCAAATGTTTTGGAAGTGTCAGTGAGTATACTATTTAAAAAAAACATCACAAACATATCTTTCAAAATAAACTAAATAAAACATCAGATGACACAACCACATTTTTCTCGGCATGCAAGGTCCGGTATTTATTCTTTGTTCTGGTTTAAAATATAACTATTAAACATGACATATTTTTAAACATCAAATACACTTTGTAACAGGTAATCATAATAAACACTGGTTGCTAAGCTCTTGTGGGGTAATTTATTTTCTTAGGACATGTTTTTTATAAATTATTAGTTTATTGTTTATCATTTTAATCTTTTTGTGGATAATCACTTAAGGTGCCTCCAACTTCAAGGGTTTTTACTCTGTTGCCAATTAATTTTTGCAACTATTAGATTTATTAATTATTTGCTTTTTTGCTGTTAAATAATATATTAGGAAGACAACCACAGCCACATCATCTATGCTCTGAAATTTAGGCAAGAAGTGTTGGATCTCTTTTATGAGTTGAACAACAATATACAACAGTTACCTAAGACAGTTGAGAAGTGGTGAGTCTACAATTTCTTACCTTCACACAGTTATGGGAATATGCGCTTTAAAAAATCACCAAAATCCTGGTTTTTCGTCACAGTGGGTTTCCTTCACTTTTGGATACTTCGTCCATTTTTGTATTAAGAAAAAAACTTTAATGAGAACAAAAATTTTAATGTGATGAAAATACAATTTTTATAACCCTATTAATTAAAAAAAAATGTTCCCAATCTGTACGAAAGGTTTAATATCTGTCATCATATTGTATTTGGCATCAATGGAAAGCTGGATTTCTCATGTATTTGATAATCTTATTTTCTATCATCTCAGAAACACCCAAAGCTTACAATCGGCTTTACTACTTACACAGAAATGGTATTTTCTTTACCCTCTTTTTGTTACTTTTTGCTGTTTTTCTCAGTTTGCAGTTTTTTATCACTAAAAAGCCTACTACTTTTTTATTTATGAAACAATGCCCACCATATTTTCAGTAAATGTTCTTCATGCAAAAATAAAACTTTTGTCTCGAGGGAATAGAGTGGCTTTTATTTTTTTTTTAAAGTTTATGGGTAATAATATGCAAATTTTGAAACTTTTGCATACTAAAAAGGGTGCGTTACTTTAGACCTTATAGAATTCTGACCAGTAGCTCTATCAAAAAGTTGTCGTGACAAAAGTTTTAATAATACTGAAATATAACCTGTGTAAATTTGATTGCTATAAGAGCATAAATAAAAAAGCCTTAGCGTTTTTAAAAGTACCAAACAATAAAAAAAATTGCAGAGGTTTTTTCTGGTTTCCATGACAACCAAAATTGTTTTCAACCTTTTTTTGCTGTTTAATATATACTTTCATGTGCCAAAAATTGTAAAAATATTTAAAAGGCTTTAGATCTTACATTATAAAAAATAGAAATAAAGGATCATATCCCCTTAATTGTTTTAAAACATTCAAATCATGCTTTTCAATTGAGCAATTAGATACTTCCCCTTAAAGGTTGTACATTATTTTCGGTTAATATATAACTAAAGTTTCATGATTTTCAAAGGACATTTTATTAATCTGGTTCTGCTCACTTACAATTATAACTTGTCAAATTTTTAAAAATTTCTTTAAAAATAACACTGGAAGTAGCTTGAATGAAAAAATACAAAACGCAAATAGTAAAAGTATTATAGGCCAAAAAACAACACACAGTGACATTATAAATATTGCTGCACCATTTCTGGGAGTCCAACAGGATTCTCCCAGTGTCTCGACAGCCCACTCCACCATTTGACATTGATAGCAACATTACTTGTGTTATTGAAAGCAGTCAGTAAGCAATAAAGTACAATACAGAATTGCAAGCTTTATAATAATTGTTTTATATTCATCAGTGTTTCTCTAACCTACCAGCCTGCATTGCCAGTAGTGGAAGTTCAAGTAGCAGCTAAAAATTTAAAGCCAGTCAGTGTCAACAGACTACCTGATAAATTTTTTAGAAATGTTACCACTAAAAGTCTTATTGTGTTGAGCAGCGATGAGTGCTTAATTTCATGCAAGGTAATTTCTTATATCCTGTCACCTTATATAAAGCTATTACATTGTTGCAACAGAGGGAGTAGAGTTCATCTGTTTCAGTTCACAATGTGTATCTATTATGCTTTCTTAGCTTTACTTTCTTCAAACAATGTATTTCTTAAATCTTATAGAAATTTGTTCTTCTTTATCTTTGATGATCAGTAAATTTTACATTCTTAGGCTATTGCATCCGATTTACACCCTATTTATCTTTGTGATACTTCCAAGACTGGAGACATGTCGATTCGTCGATTTTTCACAGATGGAGGTTTGTTCAGTTTTGCTCTCATCTGCTTAGAAGATAGGCAAAAAGTTCTCTAACTATCCTGTAAATAAATAGTTATGTGTCAAATTTTATATTTTAAAATAAATTAACCTCTATACTCAAAGTATATTGAAATTAATAAACAGTTAATAAAGTGGCAAGGATATCTCTATTCAATTTTATTTTTTTTAGTTTCTTTATGATTTTGTTCTACATTTCTTTTTAATTTATGCTTAGCTTAATATTGGAGTTTTTATTGTAAATAGCCACCAGGAATCTTGTTATTATCAGTTTATTAAAATTAATTATCTGAAATATCCCATTTCTTTTCACATATTATTGTGCTAAATATTTTCGGTTAATTTAAAACTAAATATAAAGAACTTATTTCTGAGCACAAAAAAAAAAATTGAGTTAAAATTGGAGGCTTACTACTGGCACACATTTGTTGCATCTTTCAGAGTGGTGTTTTCTGGCTCAATTAAAAAGTAAGGAAATCATTGCTTTATGCAAAAATGGTGCAAGTAGTGCTGTTAAATACAATGATGGTAGTTTTTTGTCAAGTTATGAACAATATATTGAGTTTGAGACTATCAAAGAGTTGGACTCTCTGGCAAGTAGTATTGCAGTAACTAATGACAACAACATTATTGTATGTGTAAGCTGTGATGAGAAAAAAGTAAGTGGAAATTTAATGTACCTTGTTCCCCCAACTATCCCACATAAACAGAAAAAAAAATTATTATTACAGCTTGTGATATATATATATATATATATATATATATATATATATATATATATATATATATATATATATATATATATATATATATATACTGCAAATAATAGCCTTATACTAATACAGTGGTACCTCAACATAAGAGTGCCCAGACATACGAGAGCTTTTTTTCTATTTGAGTTACAAGCAAAATTTGAGATATAATTAAGCTGAAGCGCGGGTTTCAAAGTTCATGTAAAAGAAACACCCTGAAAAAATTGCAACTGATTTTGCATCCCAGCTATTTAACGACTCTTGTCTAACTAATTTCTGAAACAAACCTCCTGAACAGGTTTTCTTTTAAAACGGCCTGCAGGTGAAAGGGAAGAAAGCATGGTGAAAAAGGCTAAGACGAGTGAAGAGAAAGGCAGAGATAAAAATGTTAAAGAAAGTAATAATAAAATATTGTGTTGCATTTAAGTTCAGCTATTTTCAGTGAATCGTAGTTATGTTGCATTACATTTAGGGATAAAGTATAGTGTTTAGAGTGTAACAAGTAAGTGAATTATAATATTGACAGAAGAAATTTAGCATTAACTGTAAGAGAATGAAGTGAAGCTCTATCTCTTCCACCTTACACTTCTGTGAGCTTCTTCAGTTAGTTCAAGTTGGCTGATTTCCAAAGAATATACACTTTATAAAATCAATGTATTTCTGTACATTATCCTTTATTGTTTTTGTACAACATTTGTTATGTATAAATGTAAATAAATTTTTCTTATTAAAAAAACTTAACAACTGGGGTGTCATTTAGGGGGCTGGTACAGATAAATGGCATTTTTAGCGCAATTTCCATACGGACAATTGCAATTATTTATATATTTCAATCAAAAAAATTACTTTGAGATACAAGCGATTTGACTTCTGAGCAATGTTGTGGCGTGAATTAAACTTGTATCGCGAGGTACCACTGTATATACATATATTATAATATATCTTAAACACCACTGTGTAAGCTTTTTCTTATTCCTAATTATTCTTACATTATAATTACATTTTATAATTTGCCATATAGATAATCCATTTATAACTTTCACACAAATGAGGAGAGGGGTGTATGTATTTGGGTGGATGAATTTGGCATTTTTTGTGTGGACTCACACAGTAAGAAATGTAATATCAGTATGCTTGATATATATATATATATATATATATATATATATATATATATATATGGCTACAGGACATTACCCCCCTGGAAATTACCCCCCCGGATATTTACCCCCCCCCCCCCCGTATTTACCCCCCCCCCCCCCCCCGGAGCAATTACCCCCCTGTCAATTACCCCCCCCCCCCCCCCCCCGGGGAATTACACCCCCCCCCTCTCTCAAGTTAGAATCCTAACTCTAACTAGAATTCTATACCTATATACTACTTTAATCCAAACCTTAAGAAAAAGACCAAAACCTAAACATCCACCTTAGCCTAAAACCAAAACCAACGCTAGACATTGGTTTAAACTTAACCGTAAACCCTAGCTCTAACCCTCTCTAACTCTAGCCCTAACCCTATCACTAGCCCTGACTCTGACCCTAACCCTAACCCTAACTCTAACCCTGTCCGGAGGGGTGGGGGTAATGTCCTACTAGGCGGAGGGTAATTGACTGGGGGGTAATTGACAGGGGGGTAATTACTCCGGGGGGAAATGTTCGGGGGGTAATTGACAGGGGGGAAATGCCCTGTTCCCATATATATACACACTGCATTTTAATGAGCTTTGTAAAGCAGCATTGCTTAGACAAATGACCCCCTGTGACAAATGACAACATATGTTATATAATTTCATCAGGATCAGGACAGTGGCCATGGCTATGTGATGTTGATGTCTCTAAGAGGAAAAGTGATCAGAGACACTGTGGCTGACTTTGGAAGGGATATGATAAGTCCAGAGTAAGTTTAATTAAATTGTTTAATTTCTCATAATGTGATAACCAATTATTACAACCACACCATAGCACAGACTGCACACCCGAGCCCCAACTAAACCCCCAAGCCCTGACTAAACCCCCAAGCCCCAACTAAACCCCCAAGCCCCGACTAAACCCCCAAGCCCCGACTAAACCCCCAAGCCCCGACTAAACCCCCAAGCCCCGACTAAACCCCCAAGCCCCGACTAAACCCCCAAGCCCCGACTAAACCCCCAAGCCCCGACTAAACCCCCAAGCCCCGACTAAACCCCCAAGCCCCGACTAAACCCCCAAGCCCAGGCTAAAGCTAGTATGAAGACAAACGTGTGGAAACTGATCAAAAAGTTTTATTGTGTGAGTCAACATGTTATGGTGACATGATGACCATTTTAATGTTTAAAGCCTAGTTGATTCAGTGATGAGCTTTGGTATCCAGTCTCACATACATGTACATGTCTGTCTTTATAATAAATCTTTTATTTTGTTATTGTAAGGCAGTTAGACTTAGTTCCTTTAAAATCCTATATCTACATGTACATTCTTTTAAATGTTAAGCTATGTGGCAGTGAGTGACAGAGGAGAAATTTGTGTCAGCAACTCAAGAGGAAACAGTGTCATAATTCTAAATGAAGATTTGGAAATTGTTAAGAGGTATTTGTCATTTTTAAGTACTATATACAGGCACTAATGAACACAATTTTTTTTAAATTCCTCTATGGATTTCTATCTAAAAACATAAGCTGTAGGATCTTTACTATAAGATACTAAAATCTGTGATATATGATCTTTACTATTGCATAATAAATAGGTCGCCACTGTAGATATTTTCATGCAGAAAAACATTCTTTAGCTGTTAAAAACATACTTATTATGTTCAGTATTTGTTATTAGTTTTACTGGATATTTGTTTACCAATCCTATGTTTAAATATCATTAATTTTATTTCTAATAATACTTTCAAATTATATAAATACTGACTGATTTTTTTTAGTAGATAGAGATTCTGATTTTAATAATTTATAAATTTACAATATAGTATATATTTTATTTATTAATTTATTTTTTTAAAATTCTTTTTCAGCATTGAGTTTCTGTTCCCAACTTCATTCATTTATGCTGACCACCCAGATAAATTAGCATTTCTTTTCTCCCCATGTGGACTTTGCTATGACCACTTAAACCGTATCATTGTAACTGATCTAAATCACTGTACAGTTCTACGCTTGAGTGTTGATACAATGACCAAAGATTACAAGATGGAACCATTAATAATTAAAGGCAAAAAATTGGAACAGTTCCATTTTCCACAGTTTACTGCAATGGGGACTGATCGACGTTTGTGGGTTGTATGTAAAGATGATCTTTTTGTTTTTGAATATTATCAAATACAAGTTTTTTCCAGTGTTGAGTAAATTAATTTCTTATAATGCGATATAAGTCTTAGTTGGGTGTAGTTGTTTATAATGATTTATAAAATAGTTCTATTTGTAAATCAGGTTATTAAAATGTTTCCAAAATCTGTTTTTAAAGGGTTTCAAAAGGCATGCATTTACTTGCATTATGCTAAAAATCAAAAACACAAAATAATTTTATCAAGTAATTTGTATGTTTGTATTTATGAAAACTGCTAAAAATTATGCATGTGTAGGTGATTGTCGCTATTTGATTACAAAGCTTGAGACTTGATTTAATGTATAACTGACATGAGTCAAGGCATATAGTAGTGGATGTCAGTGAACTGACCACAGAATCTCTTCCAAAGCATTGACCAAACAAACATGTGAACATTACTTTTTTTTAACCTGTTGCAGACCATTAGTTTTGAAAAAGTATTTTAGCTTTTACTTTTAACAAGCTGCCTTAGTGTTCACTCGATAAATTATTGATTTCTTTCTTATATGTCACACACTTTTTTTTTTTAAATCAAAGGTTACTTAATCTAATGGTAGTCATTTATTGTTTTAGTAGGCCCTAAAAGGAAGATTCATTTGATTTTTTTAATGAAAGTTTTATTCTTTATATAATTTGAGCATGTTTTAAATCATTTCATTTATGCTTACCATGTATTTTTAAAAAGTGAATGTAATCAAATCAATATTAATTGCATTTTCTTTTATTTTCTGTAAGTATGTTAAGTTATATAAGCCTATTGGCTAGCTCTTGAAATTACTATAATTTATTTTCCTTAAGCACAGACTTTGGCATTGTCATGTTTTATTAATATTTTATTCCCTTGCAGTTTGTGTTTGACTAAACTTATCTGATCCATTTTTTTCCACATTTTTAATTTTCTGCACATTTTTGTACTACTGTTAATCTTCCAGCCAAAGACTTACATTACAGAAATGTTTAAACTGTTTAATTATATTAAATGTTTGCCAAAAAGATTTTTAAAATTATTGTAATCGACAAATAGATCTAGGTTGTTATTCTCTTTCTCACTGTCAGCATAACTTTCCAGAATAATGGTCACAAGCCAGACCAGTCACAACAGGATGAAGAATCAAGCATTTTTTATGCCCTTATCACACTCACTAAACTCTTGGGTTTTGGTCAGCTTCCTCCACCAGTGCATCGAGCCATCTGATTTGGATATTGGTTGAACAATAACCTACAGTTCATAACCCGAGTATTGTGATCATGAAATTCGTGCCTCCACTGCTAGTCCACACCAATCACTAAATATTTCAACTTAGTCAACAATTTACCATTATTTTCTGCATTGCCTATTCTTATTTACAGAATTTACTTATTATACCTTGTGGCATTAAGTAGTTAGTACCAGCATTATTGTGTAAAGTCGAGGTGGTAACACTGCCATGTCTAAAGGTTGATTGAATGTTTACAGATGCCTTTAAAATATATTAATGATGTTTTTCAACACATTTTTAAAAGTTCCCGTATGCTGTTGATAGTACTTACACTGCCATCAGGATGGAGTTGCATTTCAATCAACTACCTACCTAGAGGTCTTTCATTTCTGTTCAGAGTGTACTGTTGGTAGGATGTCATTGAGTACAGAAAGCTCTAATGGGTACCTGGCTCTAGTCGGGGAAAGAAATGGCTGTTGTCTACAATCCTTTCTTAAGCTGATGTCACACAAACAGGCTCAATTTCCTATGCCCAATTGCTTTTGTAAAACATTGTTTAACAAAAAATGGTTGACTTTATTTTTTTATATTACTTCTGATATTGAATGTATTTACATTTGTTGTATAAATTATTTCTTTTTGTATGATGTAAGATTAAAACAAGCAAGGCTGCTGAGTCAGGTGTAGTAGGAGTTTGAGTAGTTCAAAATGTGTCAACTGACTTTGAGTAAATTACATGAGAGTAAAATGTCATCAGTAGAAGATAAACATATAAAGTATTATAAACATTTTCTTTTCCTTTATATTGTGAAATATTTGTCAATGTTAACATTTCCAAAAAATTTTCTTAGCTATATTACAGTGCTGAAAAAGTTATTATATGGAGTTTATTTAAAGACAAAGTCTGGTAAGTAGGGATGAGTAAACAAATATCAATAATATGTGATGTGTAGGTGATATATTAGCTGGGGCTGGTGAGGGGGCTTTTAAACTGTACAGTCATGTGAAGGTAGTCCTATTGAGGGATAATCTCAGCAGCCTTGCAACTGATAATAGTAAAAACTAAAAAAAAATTTCTAGACCTCTTAATCTTGAGAGAACAATTTATGCATTTTTGACTTGTATTTTTTTAATGAAATGTACCAAATATATGATATATCAGTATATAACTTAATTATCAAATTACAATTCACTATAATGAGCTGGTTTCTTTAAATACATCTATAAAATTTATAAATATTTTATTCCAAAATTATTTTAAAACATTTTTAACATAACCTTAATCATCTTTATTTTTTTTTCTTTAAATTAATTTGACTGCCTTTTTAATAAACTACTGTTTGAAATGTTTTCTCTGTGTTTTTGTTTAAACAGTATTGATAAACGAAAAAATATTTAATAAAACTGAAGGTAACTTTTTTTCCTATTGGTACAACCAGAATTAAGAATCTTTAAAAAAACACTTATCAACACAAAAGTTTTGTAATAAAATCTAAATTTATGTCTAGAAAAATCAGTATTGATCCTTTTCCAAAAAAAAATTTCATTTTGAAACTTAATATTTTAATTGACTTAAAGTGCAAAGAACAGAATCAAACTAAATTTATTACCCTTCACAATTAAATTAATTTTATCTAAAAAATTATAAAAATTATATCCCATTTAATTATACCATTTACTTCACTTGACATACCAAACAAAAATAAATAAATCAGAAAAAAAAATTACTTTCTTTTGGAATCCGGACAACAGGCCGGCATGGACAAAAGGCCGACAGGAAATAAGGTCGACAAGTTTTATAAACTACAACTATAGACATGTTTAATTATTATTTAAAACCAGTTAAATAATGATAAAGTACAGCATGGACACAAAAAATGTCTACTTATTCAAGCCTAGTTCTGTTTTCACGTTCTGCAATGACATTTACTATCCTACCCTCTTTCTGTAAATACTAGGCATGCTGCCCAGCTTCGCTTAGGCTTTCGAAAACATTGAGAATTTGAATGCTTAATTAATTCGCCCGAAGGTCGGTCTACGACCTCAAGAGTTATGAAGAGGTTCCTCCGTGGACATTTCTTTTCGATTTATAGCTTATATAAGGTACCGGTCAGTCGAGGTCAGTTTTGACCCCCACATCGTAGACTTTTCGGCCAACCGGCCCCCGTGTTCTGTCGCACCAAGGCAAGATCATGCCAAATTTGAAGCGCCTGCGGCGCCGGGAAGTGCCCTATCGGACACCCGACAATCTAGATCTAGATTCCTAAAAGAATTTTTTTTTAAGTTTAGCCCGAGCATAATAAAAAAGAATACATTAACCAAGTTGACTTGCTGTTTCTCGAACCCGCACCACCTGCGTGGTTTAATGTACACTAACATCTCCGCTATTTAGGCACCTTATAAAATACGGAGAATGAAACACGTATTTTAAAATCTTAACTTACGCGAATATGCCTATTCTTTCAAATTAATTTTTTATCCCAAATTAGCCAGTTCATAACAAAGATTTTGTATAAAATAAATAAGTCTTGAAATAGTTTAGTCCTAATATAGAAATTTATTTTTGGAATTGATTTTAGAGGAGTTAGAGTCTAAATCTAGATCTTAGCGTCTACGTTCTACGTCTAGCTGCCTAGCTAGATCTAGTTATTGCGTAGATTTAGATTTAGTCTAGATCTAGAATCTCTAGATCTAGAATCCAAATACATAAAATAAATTTTATGAGTTTAGGCCGGAAAAATTGAATTGTATACATTTCATAGTGTACGTAGATCTAAATCAAATTTGAATGAAATAGTTCATTTCTTTTCATTCTAAACACGGCAGATGACGTCATTAGTTAATGTATAAGCAATAGTGACGTCACAGTTTTATGCGTTCTTTTTCACATATATTAATGCTTTTCCGGTTGCATAAATAATACTGTTTCTCTACATTCGAATACGCCTTTAATTTTTATTTTTCTTCTTTAAATAAAATTGTGGTTATACATTTAAAACATCTAACATATTTTTTTCAACAAAAGTCCGTAAAAAGTTCTCGATATATCGCTGCCGATTCTGACGTGATGTCCGACGAAAATTTTTTGCGGACAGAGAAAGAGAGAGAGAGAGAGAGAGATGTGCGAACGTGGGGATTTATATATTAGGATTGGGGTTTTTTTTTCCTTATGGCTCACCAAGCAATATTGCCTCCATCACAACTTCCACTCTTCCTTTGCTCTTGGCACACTTGTATCATAACTCAGTCAATCAATCCAACGAATGTAGTATATTAAAAATATATAATTTTATTTATGCTATCCGCAATGAACAAAACGGGAATATAATTTTGTCGGTATTTAACATGTAGTCTGGTCAAGGCACGTGATCGTTCTACTTCATCTGGTTTCTTTTATTTCTTGGCGAAATATGATGGTAACGCCACCTATGGTCGCGTGGAATCCATTGTTCACCTTACAAGGATCACAACTAGCATTGTCTCTTGGCGTTCCACCTTGTTGTATGTGGGCGATGATGCCGGCGGCTTTTGACTTGGTTCTTTCATGATTATCTTACCTCGTTGAAAAAGAAGGAGCTATGAAAACACTCGTGACCGCCTTTCGCAATATTTAGCTGTTGATCCTTAGTGTTTAAGACACTCCCGTTATCTCCAATCACTTGGATCCGATGGTTCACCTTATAAGGATAACATTGTCTCTTCTCTTGAACTTTACGTCTTATTACATGCCTTATTTCAATGGTTGTCTAGATAGGAGCTATGAAGTTACACATATTTTGCAATATTAGTATTTTTATGGCTGTCGGCCTTATGGTTTGTCGGCCAAATCGTTTGTCGGTCTTATGGTCTGTCGACCTTTTGACTGTCTGCCTTTTGGCTTTCGGCCTTATACCATGTCGGCCTTATCTCTTGTCGGCCCTTTAGCTTTTGGCCTTTTGTCCATGTCGACCTTTAGTCTTGTCGGCCTTTTGGATGTCGGCCTTATGCAGGGGCGTAACTACAGTGACGCCAGACCCCGCAAAGTACGCTTTATACTTGTTTTTTTCTGCATCTATATTAGTAATTTTGAACACATTTTTTACAGCTGTGTCATTCTTTAGAATACTTTAATTTAATAATAATTAAGAGAAGAAATTGCTTTTTAATGTGCGTTAACAACCCCCCCCCATTCACACCCTGCCAACGCCAGTGCTCCAGAAAATGTTTCTGTCATTAAATAAAATGCGTTAATATAATTTTAAAAATTAAAAGGATTAATAAATTACAAATGATTTTGCAAAATCATTAACGTGCTTGTTTCCAAAAGCTCCATGAAGGTTTCTGGTATCTATAATAATAGTTTCGCTGTCTGTCTATCTATCTATCTATCTATCTATCTATCTATCTATCTATCTATCTATCTATCTATCTATCTATCTATCTATCTATCTATCTATCTATCTATCTATCTTATCTATCTATCTATCTATCTATCTATCTATCTATCTATCTATCTATCTATCTATCTATCTATCTATCTATCTATCTATCTATCTATCTATCTATCTATCTATCTATCTATCTATCTATCTATCTATCTATCTATCTATCTATCTATCTATCTATCTATCTATCTATCTATCTATCTATCTATCTATCTATCTATCTATCTATCTATCTATCTATCTATCTATCTATCTATCTATCTATCTATCTATCTATCTATCTATCTATCTATCTATCTATCTATCTATCTATCTATCTATCTATCTATCTATCTATCTATCTATCTATCTATCTATCTATCTATCTATCTATCTATCTATCTATCTATCTATCTATCTATCTATCTATCTATCTATCTATCTATCTATCTATCTATCTATCTATCTATCTATCTATCTATCTATCTATCTATCTATCTATCTATCTATCTATCTATCTATCTATCTATCTATCTATCTATCTATCTATCTATCTATCTATCTATCTATCTATCTATCTATCTATCTATCTATCTATCTATCTATCTATCTATCTATCTATCTATCTATCTATCTATCTATCTATCTATCTATCTACTCTATCTATCTATCTATCTATCTATCTATCTATCTATCTATCTATCTATCTATCTATCTATCTATCTACTCTATCTATCTATCTATCTATCTATCTATCTATCTATCTATCTATCTATCTATCTATCTATCTATCTATCTATCTATCTATCTATCTATCTATCTATCTATCTATCTATCTATCTATCTATCTATCTATCTATCTATCTATCTATCTATCTATCTATCTATCTATCTATCTATCTATCTATCTATCTATCTATCTATCTATCTATCTATCTATCTATCTATCTATCTATCTATCTATCTACTATCTATCTATCTATCTATCTATCTATCTATCTATCTATCTATCTATCTATCTATCTATCTATCTATCTATCTATCTATCTATCTATCTATCTATCTATCTATCTATCTATCTATCTATCTATCTATCTCTATCTTCTATCTATCTATCTATCTATCTATCTATCTATCTATCTATCTATCTATCTATCTATCTATCTATCTATCTATCTATCTATCTATCTATCTATCTATCTATCTATCTATCTATCTATCTATCTATCTATCTATCTATCTATCTATCTATCTATCTATCTATCTATCTATCTATCTATCTATCTATCTATCTATCTATCTATCTATCTATCTATCTATCTATCTATCTATCTATCTATCTATCTATCTATCTATCTATCTATCTATCTATCTATCTATCTATCTATCTATCTATCTATCTATCTATCTATCTATCTATCTATCTATCTATCTATCTATCTATCTATCTATCTATCTATCTATCTATCTATCTATCTATCTATCTATCTATCTATCTATCAATCTATCTATCTATCTATCTATCTACTATCTATCTATCTATCTATCTATCTATCTATCTATCTATCTATCTATCTATCTATCTATCTATCTATCTATCTATCTATCTATCTATCTATCTATCTATCTATCTATCTATCTATCTATCTATCTATCTATCAATCTATCTATCTATCTATCTATCTATCTATTCTATCTATCTATCTATCTATCTATCTATCTATCTATCTATCTATCTATCTATCTATCTATCTATCTATCTATCTATCTATCTATCTATCTATCTATCTATCTATCTATCTATCTATCTATCTATCTATCTATCTATCTATCTATCTATCTATCTATCTATCTATCTATCTATCTATCTATCTATCTATCTATCTATCTATCTATCTATCTATCTATCTATCTATCTATCTATCTATCTATCTATCTATCTATCTA